GTTTCACAGAGACAGGGATGAAGTCAAGGGACACAGTCTGTGCCTGACAATCTCGGGTTCGAGAACTTTCATTCTGAGCTCAAACTCACTCCTCTGGGGGCAACCTGGGGAACAGCCAGGGGAGAGGATGAAGGAGAAGGGAGGACTAGGGAGGGCCGTCCCGGATGGGGTCTGCGGGTGGAACCTCACACTGTTCACCGATAGCCTTTCAGGCTAAAGACAAAGGCAAAGCGGGGAACCCGGGGTGCGGACTGAGCTTCCACCACCTGGCGGCACTGTGTCTGCGTTCCTGGCAGCATGCCTGAGGCCCGGTGCCACCCAGGGGCTGCAGCTTCTCCCCAGGCATCACTCTGTGGCCAAAAGCACTCAGCCAAGCCAGAGGCACCAGCATAATCAATAAATTATCATCCATGGGGCCTGGCCATACACAATCTAAAAGCATTCTCCCTTCCAACGGGGTCAACCCAGTGAACTCATTTGTTAATGGCCCACCATGGACTCCATCAGCCATATGGGAACCTGAGTCATCCCCAATCCCCCACCAGCCGGGCCTCGATTCTGCGCCAGCATCTCCAGCCTCCAGCAGCCCAGCGTCCTGCCCTGTCCCGTCTGCCTGCCACGTACGGACTGTGTGGCACCTGGCCAGTCCCTCAGTCCCTTCATCTGCAAAATGGGGGCATGAAGACTTAGTTTGAAAGGTTAGCAAGACAAAATTGATCTCTATAGCATAGCGCAGAGTAGATAAATAATAATTAATAATTTAATAATATTTAATTTTTATGTCAAATAACATTTCCCTTCTTCTTCTTTATCTTCAACCCTGTGGACCATGCTTTAAATTAAGGCCTTCTTCATCCTCACCTGGACTATTCCAATTGCCTCTAACCTGGTCCTCCTACCTCTTTCCCACACTACCGCCAGAATTATTTTCCTCTGTGGCAGGAGCTGTGGTTTGTTTTTTGGGTTTTCTTCCTGAGACAGGGTTTTGCTCTCTTACCCAGCCTAAAGTGCAGTGGCATCATCATAGATCACTGCAACCTCAAACTCCTGGGCTCCGGAGTAGCTAGGACTACAGGCTCATAACACCACGCCCACCGAGTTTTCTATTTTTTATAGTGTGAGGGGTCGAAACATTACCTGCAAGGCCCACACCCCCAGTGAAGCCGGAACTAACATCCGGCTTCTGGAAACTGTTGCTTGCTTGCCATGGAAACCGTTGCTTGCTTGCTTGTTTGCGCCAACTTTGCATTGTTTGAACCCCTGTATAGTGGGGCTGCCAGCCAACCAATCATGTTAAAGGTCAATGCATGATCCACGCGTGATCAGTCACTGCATAGCGTATGCACCATAGGGATAAAAGGCACGCTGCAACCCCGGTCGGGGTCCTTGCCTGCAAGAGTGGCCACTGCGTTGGTGCTCTAGGGCTTGGACCCTGGCTAGCCAGAAAATAAACCTCCTCTTGTGTAATTACATCCTCGATGTCTCTGCTTTTCTGTCCGGTGGGGCTATGGAAGGTCGGTCCCTAACAATAGACGCAGGGCCTTGCTCTTGCTCAGGGTGGTCTCGAACTCCTGGCCTTCAGTGATCTTCCCACCTCGGCCTCTCAGAGTGCTAAGATTACAGGTGTGAGCCACTATGCCCGGCCCAGGAGGTGTGTTTTAAACTAAATTTACTCAACCAACACTTAAGCACTTTTTGTGCGCCAGGCACTGTGCTGGTGCCGAGGATATAAAGACAAAGGAGATCTCTCCCAGGGAGCCCAGCACTGGGGCTCTATAAATACTTGAGAGGCTGTTTTAGCTAGATCACTGCTATGGGTTGAATGTGTCCCCCAAAAGGCACGTGTTGGAAACAGTGCCGGGTGCAGCCGTGTTGGGAGGCGGGGCCTAATGAGAGGTGATTAGTTCCTGAGGGCGGAGTGAGTGGATGAATGCCCATCTTGCAGGAGTTGGTTGCTCATGAAAGGATGCTCATGTAGAAGGAGAGTTTTTCTCTGTCCGGAGTTGGTTCCTTATAAAAGGGCATTCATATAAAAGAAGAGTTTGTCTCTCTCTTTCTAACCCTCCTGGACTGTCGATAAAGCAAGGAAGCATTAAAGAAGTGTACAGAATATACAGCACACAGTAATCAAAAAATACATTTTGAAGGTAGAGAGATTTATTTAACCTATAAATGAAATAGTAATTTTTCACTCCACTGACAATATTTATATGGCACTTATACTGTGTACCAGATGCCATTGTAAACACTTTACAAATGTTAAGTCACTTAACCCTCATAGCAGCCCTAGGAGTAGATTCTATTATTGTCCCCATTTTACAGATGAGGAAAGTGAGGCACAGAGAGGTTAAATAACATGCCCAGCGTAACACAACTGGCAGGTGACAGAGCTGTGATAGCCAAGATTTAAAGTTGTGCCTGAAGGTTATCCTATGGATGTGTGGTTTCTTATCCAGAACCTGAGAAAATAAATGTAATCAGGTAAATCTATACTATTTCCTTTCTAGCCAGATTCTTAAAACAAACCATTGTCACAGTACTGTATGTTCCTGGTCTGGAATCTATAGCACAGTCAGGATGCAAAGCAGCATCTCCTCGCTCCATTGCCCTCCCTATGTCTTCTAACCACCGGGCTGCCCCAGGGTGAAATTAGGAGTATCCCTGAGACACAAAAGAAGGGGGCTGGACTCAGAATTAATGTGAAATTATTCTCCGCCTGGTTTAAGGGGAGAGGGCTGAATGAAAGGTTTCCACTGAGACTGCCATCGAATCACATGGGCACTATGGAAACGGCCCCCTGGCCCCCAGGCAGGCCCATGCAGGGCTCTGGCACTACGGGGGCCTGAGTGGCTTTTCAGAGGCCCCTGTAGGACTACAGTGGCCATTGCTGGCCCTCTCCATGACCCAGGCAGGGCCCACCTGTGCATGGTGGATGCAGAGGGCCTCAGCGTCCCAGGTTACACTGACCTGGACCCCAACATGTCTCAGCCTCAGTCTCCTCCTCTGTGAAATGGAGGTAACAATAGCACCTGCATTACACAGTGGCCACAAGGACACAATGAGGCAGTGTGACTTCTTCCCACAGGCACAAGAGCCTGGCACACAGGAGCGCACATCATATGTTAGCTGTTTCTTTACTGTGTGTGGCTCATTGGAAGCTAGCGTGTCCTGTCATTCTGTCAGGCTCATGCCTGTCTTCCCCCTCCCCTTCCACCCCCAGCCTCAGTCACACGCGTGGGGAAGGGCAGGGCCAAAAGGGGAAGGCCAGCTCCCACCCAACAGAGGTGACTGGGGTCAGGGCTGGGATCAGGTTTGGGATTCTCAATTTCCCACTTCTTTGGTGCAGATATTTGAAGCTCAATTCACTGCCTCTGAGCCTACGCCATGTCTGAGGGTTGCTGTGCAGTGAAAATCCTCTCTAGAAAGTTAGCGAGTCAGCCTAGAGCCTGCTTGTCCCCCTCACAGTGAGCTGCGATGCCCCCCTCCTGGTCCCCATTGTCCCCATAGGACAGGCACTCATTCCCTCTGTGCTCATTCCAGAGCTGCTTGGTATTGGTGATCCCGGGCTGTTGCTGGCTCACGCACGCCACTGCACTTTCCTCTCCCTAATTTCTTGGAAGAGGTTTGAACAAAAGGGCCAGTCCTGAAACTGATCTCAAATTTCTGGGGTTCAGAGGGAAGAACCATGGCTGGAAGGAACCCTAGGGGTTCATCTCTGTCAAAGCTCCAGTCTCTGAATTCAGCTCACTCCAGAAATAACAGCCTCTACCCACTCCTGAGCGTGGGAAGAGCTCCAGAACAGCATTTATCAAACGTTAAGGTGAATGCAAATCACCTGGGGACCTTGTCATGCAGATTCTGACTAGTAAGGGTGGGGTGGGTGCTGGGACTCGCTCCGCTCCCGGGTGATGTCGACACTGCTGGGTGCATGAGCACGCCCTGAGCGGGAAGGACCTCGGCTCGCTGCCCTCAGAGGCTCGGGCTTCCACAGGGAAAGTGCAGTACACAGGCAGACTGAGCTCCTCAAGGCAGGAGGTACTTTGTTTTCTCCAGCCACGGTGTCTGACCACACTGCCTGGTCTCATCACAGGAAATATTTGCCGGGTAGATGTACAGATGTATGGGAAGGCACATACAGATGGATGAGTGGGAGACTAATGATATTATCAATAAGATCAAACGTACAATCAGAAACAACTGGGCCAGGCGCGGTGCCTCACACCTGCAATCCTAGCACTCTGGGATGCCAAGGGGCGGGGGGGGGGGTTGGATCGCTTAAGCTCAGGAGTTCAAGACCAGCCTGACCAAGAGTGAGATCCCGTCTCTATTAAAAATAGAAAAATTAGCCAGGCATGGTGGCGCACGCCTGTAGTCCCAGCTACTCCAGAGGCTGAAGCAGGAGGATCGCTTGAGCCCAGGAGTTTGAGGTTGCTGTGAGCTAGGCTGACACTATGGCACTCTAGCCTGGGCAACAGAGCAAGATTCTGTAAAGAAAAGAAAAGAAAAGAAAAGAAAAGAAAAGAAAAGAAAAGAAAAGAAAAGAAAAGAAAAGAAAAGAAAAGAAAAGAAAAGAAAAGACAAGACAATTAACATAACTACAAATTACATAGCTAAGTAAAAATATCTAGGGAGAAAAAATGAAGGCAGAGAGAAGTAAGGAAGGGAGGAAGGGAGGAAGGGAGGGAGGGAGGGAGGAAGGAAGGAAAAGAAGAGGATAGTGAGGGATGGAAAAGGTTTTCCATACCCCCAAAGTGTTTTCTTTCTGTCTCTACTTGACCATCGTTTCCAGCTGAGTATGCTCTGTGGATGTGTCTCATCTCCTTCAGTGGACTGTGCACGTTCAAGGTCAGCGCCTCTCTCCTAATCCCCAGTGCTCCAGCAGCAGGGCAATAAACACACATCTCGTGCAATGAGCAGGAAATAACAGCTCCAATCACCACCACTCTCTCTTAAGTACAGGCAGTTCGCATGGATTATCTCACTTAATCTTCATAACAGCCTTAAGGGGTCAGAACTATTATTAACGCCACTTTACAGATGAGGGCACTCAGGAGGATTAGATAAAATGCCTGCAGTCACGCCAATAATTAGTGGTTGAGATTAGGACGCAGGACTCCAGCTCCTAGAGCTCATGCTCTTGACCAAGGAAGTTCCAGGTTTTATGAGGCCTGAGCTTACACATTTTGAAGGGCCTTGTTTAAGAAGGAATATACCAAAGAAATCTGCAGCAAAATTTGCAGAGACACGTGGCTGCGTGAACATGCTACTGGGACCTTTCCCAGGGCCCAGAGGAGCCATGCCAGTGAGGGGCTGTGCGGCTTCCTTAGCTTCATGGTAACCACCTCTGATCTTGACACACATGCTGGAAACAGACGAGGAAAGGGAAGAAGGAAGAGAAAAAATTGTTAGAAAAAGACATGAAGAGATAAAAGGGGATGAAAAAGAAAGAGAGGAGGAAAAACAAAAGGAGAGTCTAAAGAGATGGGTGGGAAAGGGACAGGGCAGAGGGATCTGAGGTTCCTCTGGAAGGATGGATGTCTGGCCTGCATGTGTCCCCTGGCACCTGGGGGAGTGGGCCCCCATTCTCTCCGATCCACTGTGCCTCCAGCTGTAAACCTTGCCACCCCCTACCCTGTGCATCACAGCAGCCCTGCCCAGTCCTGCCCACTTGCCTTCTTCATAAGCTTCCTGCCTCTGCAAGCTCCCATACCCAACTGGGAGCTGGAGCCGGGAGGGCTGAGTCATTGTCCCTCCAACCAGCCACGCCCACCAGCCTTCTTGCCCAGGCAGCTACCTCTTTCCTGGTTCATCACCTGAGCGGCAGGAAATGCAAACCAGTGGGCCAGACGTTTCACCCAGCACATAGAGGAGCCACGACAATGGAAGCCTCGGCTCAGGGTGGCCCACTGACCTCTCCCTGCCCCATTGCCAGGGTCCTGCTTAAAAGGGAGGTGCCTGCCTGTATCATCACAGCCCTGTCCCCTGAGGTCACCTGTTCTGGGATCACAGGCTCTTGACTCTGCCCCAGACCTCCAATTCTAAAGGCCACCACCCCAGTGTGGGGAAGGGCTAGGGCCCTGGTGGCTCCAGGGGCCCTCCAGGACAGCCCCAGATCTCTGCTACCCGGACACAAGCCCAAGGCCACACCTCACTCATCAGCCAAGATCTGGCCAACAATCAGTCAAGTCTACCTGGTATTCCTCCCCCTGCACAGACATCTCTGGGGACTTCCATGGACCATGGACCCAGGGCTTTCAGACACTTGCGTTCCATTCAGTCTGTGCACGTGGCTGGCGGAAACGGGGGAACCAGGCCCCAGCCCCAATTCTGCCCAAAACTACTTCATCTCCATGAGCTACAGTTTCCTCAGCTGTCAAATGGGAACCAAATATTCCTCATGCGGTTGTTGTGAGGATGAAGGAGATGGCACACAGACGCGCATCATCAACGGAAGGGCAGACACATGAGTCTACCCTGGGCTGGCCTCCTGGGAGGGCCAGGACCAAGAAATGGAAGAAGACGTGGATTGCTTTGGAATCAGACGCTAATATACTACGTGAGCTTGGGTAATTGACTTTGCCTTCCTGGAGTTTAGTTTTGTCACCCGCAGAATGGAGGAATGGAGTGAACAGTTACCCAGTCCCTCGGAGTTCTCTAGTCTGTGGTTCCAAGGTTGCACCCTGCACACTCCCTAGCCAGGGGGCAGCTCCAGTGGTCAGGATGTGGTGGGACGCAGCTCGGAAATGGCCCTGTGGAAGAGGAGACTCGGGCCCTAGCCATGGCACCAACAGTGATTTTCAAAATATTTAACAAGGCTGGGAAGCGGCATGTTAGTTAGCCCCGTGCAGGGCAGCTTCGCTTCTAGAGCCCAGGAAAACCAGGTCTGTCTCACCTGCTTAAGAAGAAACCCTCCCCTTCTCCACAGACTTCCCAATCCTGTCACTCCACGCATGGCCATGACCCATTCTACTGAGCAGCAAATCCTGTCCTCCAGCCCCCAGCCTCCTTCAACTTTCCACCACCCCAAACAGAAGCGTCCACACAGTGAGAAGTTAGGCAGCCGGAGCGGGGCGGGGCGGGGGGGACTTCTGACATCACCCTCAACCACCACCCGGTTGGGTGGAAGTCACTCAGGTGGGAAGGCTTTTATGACATCTTAGGTGTGTCACCTGTTCTGAGGCCAAAGGGCCCATGAATGACTCCAGGTGTTCCAGCCCCTAAGGCAGGTGTCAGGTTACAAGACACATAATCATTCCAGTTCGGCAACTTCACCTGTAGGGTTGTTTCAATCGACCCACCCCACAGCTCCCAAATCACTCCCGGAATACTGTGGTGAGAGGCAGCTGGCTTGCTAAGGGGACAGGGATGCTGGACATGAGGGACCAAGGCCTGCCCTGCACTTAGGCTTCTTCCAGCCAGTGCTGAGCGGGGATTACTGACCCGCTGGCCAGCTGTGGGGAGGCCTCCGCCTGACTTGGGTCGCCAGTCTCAGCTCCAGGCCGTAGGGAAATATGGAAGATCACAGAGCCAGCACGGTGAGTGTGGGGACCTTCTGCTCCTGAGACTGGAGGGAGGGTGGGTTTTTCCATCAAGGACCCTTCGAGCAGCCTGAGAAGTCAACAGCTGCGAATTTTGCGACTCCTTACAGGTTAAAAAAGAGGTTATAGTTGAATCACCCCCACACCCCATCCCCTTACATGCCTTGTACACACCTGCCCTCTTCTCTCCCCCACTGCCAGCGGTCCCTGGCCCAGCCCGCGCAGGAAGCTGGGGCGCAGAGGCCAGGGCTGCCCTTTCTGATGGCTGCCCCCCAATGCTGCATGCTCTTCTGCACAGCGTCTCCCGGTTTGTTGGCTAGAGGTCAGCACTATGTTTCCAAGGGCAAGTGGCAGTTTTGATGCCTCTATGTCCCTCTGCCACTCCCTGGGGAGACTGACTCCTTTCCTTTTTAAAGAAAATGGTGCGGAGATGCCCCAGAACAATCTCGGGTGTCGGTGGAGATCTTACGCTTGGTCTCTCTTCATGCCCTCGCCCTCTGTCCTCCTTCTCAGAATACCTAGAGTGTCTTCGCTCCCCTGGGGCAAAGAGAACTGACTCCATCTTTCAAGGAGGATGACTGAGGACCAGGGAGGGGAAGAGACAGCTGGGTCTGAGGTGGAACCCAGAGTGTCTCCATTCTCCAGCCCTTGGCCAAGCCGCAGCAATTTCCCAGCAACCGAAAGGAAAAAGGGGGGAATAAAGGGAAGGAGAAGCAGCTATTTAAGGGGTAGGATGTGACCTGCAGTGACCCCTCAAATGGCTGTCTCCTGACTGCCAGCCGCAGCCTTTCCTGTGACATGCTTCCAAAAAGTCTGGCAAAAGCCAGCTCAGTGCCAGGGTAGTTGAGGGTCAGAAAGGGTTTGCTTGCTTTCCGCTGGAATTGAGCCAGGATCAAAGCACCAGCTTCCTGCTTTCCCGGCCAAGGAGGTGCCCTAGAAGCTCAACCTGTGTGCAGAGAAGCCCCATCCCCTGGGGCTGCGGGAGAGGGGAGGAAAGTAGCAGTGCAGCCTGCCCAGCTGAGCTGCTTCTGGGTGGCACTGAGGAGCCCTGGGCTGCCTCTCAGGGGAGCAACAGAAAAGGGAGTAGTTTCTAGGGCAGATTACTGCAGCATGCACTGTAGCATCAAAAGGCTAAAAGGGGCCAGGTATGGTGGCACGCACGAGTAGTACCAGCTACTTGGGAGGCCAAGGCAGGAGGATCGCTTGAGCCCAAGAGTTCAAGGCTAAAGCGAGCTATAGCTATGATGATGGCACTGCACTCCAGCCTGGGCAACAGAGCAAGACCCTGTCTCAAAACAAACAAACAAAAAAAAAGAGGCTAAGAAGCCGGCTCCCTTATCAGCCGTGCTGTCTTGAGACTGTAGTCTTTCTAATCTTTTAATCTTACCATGCACACGCAGGGTAAGTGCAGAGACTGAATAGGTTAAGATAGTAAATAGGCGCTGGAAACCATGACACCCTGTAGAAACGTAAAAACTCGTGCCTAAAGATGAATCCACTGACCCTTTGCTACCCAGGGAAGGAGCTGGGCATCGCCGTGTGGGTGAGAGAGGGCAGGTGGGCCCCAAAGGCAAGGGAGAGTATGGCCAGTCTCCAGGGTAGGATCCAAGGAGCCTCTGGCCCCGAGCTAGCCATTAAACCACCTGCGCCTAATTACCCTGTCATTGCCCTCTAATGAGGCCAGGCCAGCCATAGCTCCCAGCCCTAGGGAGAGAATGGGACAGCTCATGCCCCTCCCTGCTCCTTCCGTCCCCACAGGCCCCTCCCTGTGGCAAGGTCTGCATGGTGGTTCTCTCCCTGGAACCCATTAAACTAGGAATGCCCAGGAACAGCTGAAGCCCGGAGCAGAGATCGGAGCCCAAATTCTGTCTCTGAGGGAAATGTGTCCCTTGATATCTACTCTGTGTCGGAGGCCTGGAGGGAAGTCAGGGACTCTGTGACTGGCCCGGCTCATTACTGCCCTGGAGGCCCCAAACACACCAGGAGCCACAAAGAAGGCATTGGCCTGAGGCTAGCTCGCCCCTTCTAGCCCCTTCTAGCTAATCTGGGGGCAATGATCCTCCCTACCACTTTCTCTGCTCCTTGCCAGCCTGGTACAGACTCAGGGGCTTGTCTAGGGCTCAAGAACGTGGTGGTCAGCAGGTCAGCCCGAGGGCTGCGGGGGTCTGCAGGGTCCACCCCAGACTGGGACATGGAGCCTGCTGCCCACTCAGCCCTAGTGGTGGCCTCCAGGGCTCTGAGATGGCAAACAGAGAGCTGGGCAGTGGAAAGCCCCTAGGAGGCTAGATGGGCAGAGATGGACTGCTTGCCCTGCTGCTTTCCTGCACCCCTCGCCACCTGAGTGAGGGGACCTCGTGTCGCTGTGACCCCCAAAGAAGCTCCAGCCAGCCAACTACCATTTAATCAGCTCCTGCCATTGGCCAGCCTCTAAATGGAGTGCCTAGGTTCTACCATGGAGATGCTCAGAAAGGACCGTGCGACAAGTATAATACCAGCAGTGCTGACAAGATGCCTCTGGAGCCAAGAAGGCGGTAGATTCTCTCTAGGGGGTTCAGAGAGATGTCCCAGAAGAGACAGTATTTGCACTGGGCTTTGAAGGATGAGCAGGCTAGCTCCAGGCAGAGAAGGTGGGGAGGGTGCTCCAGACAGAGGGAACTGCATGGGAACAGCAAGAGAGTGGGAGTGTGGGGACAAGGGGCAACACAGGAAGCTGAGAAGCCTATACAGGGCACAGGGCCTTGCCAGCGGGGTCAGAGGAGCTGAAGCTAAATCACAGCAGAGGCAGCATCTCCCAGGGCTCTTCCCTCCAGATCTTGGGGTTCGAGCTGTGTGCCTGGGTGCGGACCTGGAGAAGTTTGGAGGTCAGTCCTGCCGTGTGCTCGCAGGCCTCTCTCCTCCTGTCCAAACTCCCTTCAGTGCAGCCGAGAGCCCAGCTGTGATTGCAACAAGGACAGCTTCCTTCCCTCCCCAGCCCAGCTCCCTGAGTGACAAAGCCTGCAAGATCTGACAGCTGAATGTGAGAAATGAGGAGAGAGGCAAGTGTGAAAGGGGAGAGATGAGAAAAAACAGACCAAAACCGGGGCTCAGGAACTCTCAAAAAAAAGCCCCAGAACCAACCAACCCAAGACAGCAGGAGACAAATGCTCTCAGGCTGAACAACTGTCATGGCGCAGATCTCCCAGGCAGCTCTTCTGCCCTCAGGCAGCTTGGTGAAAACATCGCTTGCTCAGTAAAACACTTCCAGTTCCCAAGCAATGATTCCCCAGGATGTGAACTCCCCCAAACCTAAAATGCATTCATCTCTGCCATAGTTTTTATAAACCTGTTGCCACCAGACTGGGAGCTTCTCGAGGACAGGGTCTATGCCTTTTCTGTCTTTTGGTCCCAAACCTAGAACAAGGCCTGGCATGAGATAGGCACTTGGTAAATGCTGGCGAACGAATGAACGACAGATAAATGATTGAAGATAGAATCCTCTAGAAGCAGTTTCTGATGTATCTGACCCTGAAGACAAGGTTCACGCCGAGTTCAACTGGAAAACATGCCCGATTCTACCTGAGGTGTCACCAAGGTGGTTTCACCCCAGACAGATACTAGGTACGAGGGAGGTATGGGCGTGAGCCTGCCTGGAAACCCCAGTGATGGAACGGGGAGAGTCAGAGCTCAGCTGATGTGGCAACCCCCTGCGACACGTCTAACTCCACCTCCCGGCCCGTGTTCTGACTAAGCATCATGACAGCAGCAGAGAAATCTGTAAACAAGACTCAAAAGGGCAACAGGCCTCCCTCCCCTCAGCTTGCAGAGCAGCTGCCAACTTCCTGGCATAATCCACGCAACCAGAAACTCCCCAGGGCAGCAGATGGAAAGAACACTGGAGGAAGAGCGTGGGAGACTGAGATGGCCCCTGCCCAGAGGTGGCAGTGGTGTCTTCTGTCACAGAGTATCCTGCACGCCAGTCTGGATGAGCTTTGCCCACCGGGGCGGTTGAGCCGATCAACGCTCTGGGCATTTCCTGCCATCTCAGTCTCTTCTCTGCAATCTGCAAGCACTCATTCATTCATTCATTCAGCGCGTGCTCCCTGAACATCTGCTCTACGCTAGGCACTGGCCAGATCCTGCAGAAGAGTCAGGGGAGACTATGCGACATCCAGGCCCTCGGTTCCGTGTGCGGCACGCATGGACAGGGGCGGGTGAACACCTTCTCCCTCACCCCAGGCAGAGCAGGACACTCGCTCACCCGCGGATGTCAGCAAGAAGGGGGCAATGATAGCTGAGGTCAGCCACATCGCCCTCATCCCATTTTCACCCTGGCACTGGGGACATCACCCATGATCACATCCCCGATCGCCAGAGGGGAGGAGGACGGCCTTGTCAGGCTTCTGGGAGGACCGATCCATCTTGACAAGCAGGAGTCACTGGTAGTCTTAAAGGGAATAACAATAGCGGCAACATTTCCTCTCTAACCTAATACCACGAGGACAGCGTGTTGTGCTTTGTGGCACTTTCATGTCCAGACTCTGCCTTGAGTCTGATGCCAACTCTCTGAGACCTTCTAATCCTCATTACAGACAAAGGAAATCAAGGCTCAAAGAAGTTAGTTTCAATACTTGAAAAGGGTCACTCAGCCAAGAGCAAAGGGACACCCAGTGTCTGTAATTATCTGAGGCTTTCAAGAAGACTAAGATAAAGATTCATACCTAATGCTGCTCGGAAAAAAAAAAGTTACCAGGAGACCATTAAAGATAGAAAATTGACCTAAAGAGAGAATATTGTGAGTGAATCAGGCCAGGGCTAGTCTTATCTCTGGCAGGAGACAAGAGAAGTTTCAGGCTACATGCAAACTCTTCAGAAAGAACCTTAAGGTCTTCTAGGTGAGTGGTTTCCCCAAGGTCATTGTGGCCTCAGAGCCCCTTGCCCCACTGAAGTCTAATGCAGACCCCCACCTGGAACACAGAGAAAGAAACAGGGCTGCAGTGTCTGGAAGGACCCTGTCCTCACTCCCTCACCCACTCTGCCCCCTCCCTCCCCTGGCAGCACTGCTGAGGGGGGCCAGGGGTGCTCGGCCAAATCCCCCAGGAGTGGGCATGGCCCTTGTCTGGGCCTCCCCTTGGCTGCTGCAGAAACCTCCTTCACAATCCAATCCGGCTTCTATTCACACACCTTCTGTTTCTAGAAACTCTAGTTGCTTAAAACAACTCTCCCTTTGCCAAGAGAAAGGGCTCTCTGTGACTTCCAACATTCCTCCTTTGTGTGGTCCTTTGCCTTGTCCTCGAGATGCCATACACATTTTAAAGGACCATGGTCATGACCCCTTGGTCCCTGCTTCTCTGCCCTGCAGAGTTCTCACAGTTTACATGACATCCCTTCGGGTCCCCTAACTGCCCTGGTCACTCTCCCCAGAGGCACTTGGTCCACAGAGTCCCATCCTGAAGTCAGGCCCCTTGGCCTACGAAATCATAAATTAGCCACTGTTTGTTCAGCTCCTGTTACATACGTGCCCTCTACGAAGCTCTTTCCCGTTAATAATGAATAATGTTTGAGTATCTACTATGCCATGCACTTGTCAAGCTCTATTTTAATATTGCTATTAATAATTAACCAAAATAATGGAATATATTCTCCATGGCACATGAACTTTGCCTCTTGTTCACTGCTATATCTCCAGGCCCCAGAAAGGTGCCTTACTGAATGGATACAGTGTCACTGCTGTTATTATTATTTATTATTACAGCTAACAATCATCACAATCGTGCTACCCACCAGGCAATGTGCTAATAATGCCAAACATATTTTGGGCTCATTAGGAGGGAGACTTATTCAATCTCTCTCCCTCTCTCTCTCACTTTTTCACACACACGAAATTGAGGATTTCGGTGGCTAAATAACTTGCCTAAGGCCTCAGGCCTGAGAGCAACAGAAGTAGGATGAAGACCTGGGCTTCGGGATTCCAAGGTCTATACTCCTTCCACTGTAAACCCAGCCTGTTCTAGAAAATGGCATCCCAGCAAGGAAGAACTTGACAAAGCACTCACAGAGTTATGTGAGTGGGCAGAGAAGTGGGAAAGGAACTCCGGGTTATGCAACCTCAAAGTAATAGATGCAGAGAAGTCACTGAGGTATGATTGAAGCACTATTTATAGGATCGTGTGTTCAGAGTTCACAAGAAAGAGATCTAGATCTTTGCCAGGGGTGCGAGGCTGGTTATCATCGGAGCATCCAGAACAAATGTGAATGCTCAATGCTGCCCTTGTACAGAGCCTTGGTGCAGATCCCCCTGGAACACCGTGTGGAGTTCTGCTCCCCGGGGCCTCTAGGGTAACTGGAGCTGAGCGCACCGATTTTCACCCCCTAAACTCCTCTACATGCCAAGCACCAGGCCAGGCACATCACATGCATCATCTCATTTAATCCTCACCAACAACCCTATGAAGTAGATCATCTTCTCCCCATTTTACAGATGAGGAAACTGAGCCTCAGTGCAATTCATTAACGTGCCCAGGACCGCATGGCTGGAAAGGGACAGATCTGGATTCAGGCCAGTGCACCTGACTCAGGGCTCAGGAAGAGCAGGAGCAGGGGACAACCTCCTGACCAAGGCTGCAGAGACCCTCAAACCGCAAGGACCAGCCGAGGGCAACCACGAGCAAGTCTGTAAAATCAGGAGTGGGCTTGGGAAGGCGCGTTGTACCTAGCAAGGGGGCCTTACAGAACCTTCCTCACCATCACCTTGTGCAGTCAGTTTGATCGTAACCTGCATTCCAAAGGAATCAGCTAGGCCCAGGAGATGATAGTGATTTGCCCAAAGCTGCTCCGCACGTAATAGAGGAGTCAGACCTCCTAACGCCAAAGTTCCTTTTCCCTCCCCACCGTTTACCTCCCCCTTAAAGTTTAAGGAGAATTCAGGATAAGCAAAAGACAGTCGAAACTCTGTGGAGTTTCTCAAAGACAGTCGAAACTCTGTGGAATTCTTATAAACATCATGCTGCATCTTGGGTGGCAGCTCCTCAGTTCAGGTCAATTGCAATGTTAGAGAAACCTTCTAAGCTTTAACTCCATCTGCCCTTCCCCACGGCAAACCCCTAAGGGTCCCTGTCTGGCTGGGAGTCTGATCTCCGTGTCCTGGCCCCTGCTGGCTCTCTGGAGTCCCCTTCAGCCATTGTCCAGGCATTGCCCTTGGGTGTGCAAAGATGATGGCAGCTTCCTTTTAATCAGAACTTACTGGGGAGGGACAGTGGGCTCAGACAGACCCATCACCCTGGGGCAGAAGGAAAGCTAAACGAAGTAGAATTGCGAAGAACTCAGAAAGGCTGGAGAGAATGGACTGCTTTGTAAGAGCTACAGTAGGCAGCAAGATCACCTGGAAGCAAGGGACCTCTGATGGGCATGGGCGCAGGGCTTCTGACGAAGTCAATGCAACGGGCACGTGCTAATACCTCCCTCCTACCTTTCCCGTTGTCTCTGGGGAGAGAAAGCATGACTACTGTACCTCAGTTTCTCCATCTGTGACACAGGGATGCTTACACCTTCACCCTCTCCCCAGGGCCTACCTGGACTTAAGAGCTGGGTGGTAACACAAAAGCTGATTCTTCAATGGCAGGAGCTAAACTGCAGGCTGGTGGCAGAATAATGGCAGGCTGGTGGCAGAATAATTGCAGGTCACCTGACACCTCCCATCTGCCCCAGGCCCTGCCCTGGAGCCATTATGTGCTAGGATGGGGGCTAAGGTGCTCGGGTCAAATCGCTAACAGGTCAGCACCTATGTGGCTTTGAACAAGGCAAAATGGTTTCTAATGTGGCAGCCGAGGCTGAAGTTAGCCCTACAGGAAAGTGTGCTGCTGTAAGGTCACCTGCACACACACAGCGAATGTGAGAATCTCCTTCGTGGGAGAGCTTGGATAGCCCCCTGTGCGTGGCCGGGGATGGGGGCAGACCTGCTTAGAGGGGACAGGGTGGCAGGTCAGAGGGTGCTTGGAGGCAGGCGTGATGAGTCACCTCTGTGGACCCCCCATACACTCAGCTGCCTGTCACAGCCAGGCGCATCTCTGGAAACTCCCCCTCCTGCCCTGCCAGCCATGGTCCAGCCCTCCAAGTCCCGTCTCCTCACCTTACCTGTCATGGCTGCGGCATCCCACAGAGACAGCCCTGATTCCAGCCCTGCAAAGGCATCAGACCGCCTGTCCCCGCGGCAGGTGGAGAGGACACAGCTGCTTACGGTTGGGCTGGGGGAGGAGTGCAGGTTCAGGGGCCAGACCACTCTCGTCAGAGGAGCCACCAAGCCCTGGAGCCAGCTGTGGCTGGGCCTTGCTCTATGAGCTGACTATGAGCCGCCTCTAGAAACCCAGAGAACTCTCCCCACCCCCTCCCTTGGGATTTCCCCCCGCTGCTTGTCACTGGCCTCGGCAACCTAGCTACCACCTGCCAGGGCCCCAGAGGACCTGTTTGTCCCATCACCTGGCAACAGTGGCGCCGCTGGCTCTAGGCTTTCCCTATGCGACCTCAGGAAGCCAGGGCCTTGGCCCCCATGGGAGCCTGAAGCTGCCACAGATGGGAGCAGGGCCAGAAAGCCCCGTTTTATGTGCCCCTACTTTTCTCCCTCCATCCACACCCCAGTCAGTCTAGCTCTGCCCCTGCTGACTTCTTTCCAGGGCAAGGAAGTGCAGCATCAGCATTGCAGAGAGGAGGAGAGGAGTGAGGTCCCAGGGGCAGGCCACTTGGCAGGGAAAGCAGACAGAGGAGCTGGCCTGCCTCCTCTTCTTCCCTCCTTGTTAGCCTGGTGAGCACTTGTCCATTTCATTGTGAGGTTATTAACCCTTTTATCCCATCTCTGAAAGGCAGTTCCCAATTACCCAAAGGGATCTGGAGGTTCGGAGACATTAAAGGACATGCCAAAGGCCACTCAGCAAGTCAGAAGACAAGGCAAGACGAGAACTCACACTCCCCAGGCTGATCCCTTGTGGCTTCTCTGAAGCTCACTTAATCTTCACTCCATTTCAAACGAAAGCTGCCTTGTGTCTGGGTTGCTCATCTCTCAGCTGAAAGGGAAACAGGACCCTAAGTGTCCATTTGACATTTGGGGCTGAGCTAAGCCCAGGCAGGAGTTTCTCCAAGATCTGAAACAGTGTGTGGGGTAGGGGAGACTAAGGCACGGAGAAGGAGGTGAGAAAGGCAGACACCTAATGGAAGAGAGGGAAGGAGAAATGCTACTTTTCCCAATATGCTCTTTGAGGGAGGTCTCTTGCCCCCATTTATGGATGACTTGCAGAGCCAGAAGCTATGCAGAGGTTACTCTGCCTTCAGACCAAGGCAGGACTGGGGAGACGCAGGAGCAATCTCTGCATGCTGACTGCGTGCTAATCACATGCAACAGGACCACATTGCAGGGGAGTAGACATTCAAAAGGACGCAGCACCAGCTAATGACGCTTACCCAGTGGGATTCCTGAAACTGTGGGGAAGTGAAAACAGCAGCCACTGAGTCCAGAAACCTGGCCCCAAGAGCTGGATCTGTTACTTACTTGCTTGGAAGCCATAGCATTATAGGAGCCATGGTCTCCTCTTCCGTGAAATTGGGATCATTTCTCAGGGTTGTTCCAAGGATTAAATGGGAGAGCATTTATGAAAGAAGGATATTGTAAGCTATATAACAATATTCAACTATAATAGTCAGTGGTTCTGTCTCCACATTTGGGTCTTAGATTGATGTCTCTGCTGCCAGTGACCAACTGAGAAACAGAAAAAAGATTCTCGAGCTAATAAGGCAATGGCAGGTGTTTTTCAGCCATTGAGCATCCACCCATTTCTACCACCCCACCTGACCCCCTACACCCTCTGGCTTGGGTCCTCCTGGGTCCTGGGGGCCTGGGGGCCTGGGCATTCCAGCTCTTCCACCGTACTGTAGACGGCAGGAGCTTCCTCTCAGATGAGCCCCAGGTCGGACACCAGCTGGGCCGGACCCATGAGTCAGGGCTCTGCGGCGGCAGACTGAGTCAACAGAGCAGACAGGCCTGCCCCAGCCACCAGCCCAAACAAAAAGGCCATGGCCAATGCCTGCGCTTCGGCTGGGCTGGGCCGGGCCTGGGCTGCGGTGGTTGTGGCCAGGGGCTGAGTTGAAGTTGGGGTTAAGCAAAGACATCTCCAGCAAAGCAAAAGGAAGTACAGTTGGTCTATGGTGGCCTCACAACTTCCCTCTTCCCTCTATTAACTCCGGGGCAAGACACTTCTGTCTGTCCTCGGTTTTCTCATCTGAAAGTGAGGAAGTTGCCTGGGAGGGTCTCTAGAGACTCTTCTAGCTTTTGCATCCTGTGTTCGTGGCAGGGACGCCCCACAGTGATGGGGGCCGACTGGATCTCTGAATTATACCTGGCACCCCATTTGCTCCTTTCCTCCGCTCAGGATTGCTTCTAGGCTGAGAGAGGATGCAGCTGGCCATAAGTCCCTCTTTCCGTCCTGCTCAGGAATGTCATTGACATTGATGGTCCCCAATAGCCACTTGCAGGCCTAAAATGCGCCCGCCTCCCTGCCCATGGGCCCTGATCACCACGGCCTTCAGCAGCTCTTCTTCCCAGAAGTTTAACAACCCATCATCTCCCAACTGTCTGTGTCAGAGATGCTTGCCAAAGAGCTTCAAAAAAGGCCAAAGAATGAGCCACTGAATGGAAGAACCCAGGCAGCATGATAGTAAGGGCAGATCCTGGTGAGGACAGGAGTTTGACCTCCTCAAAGCACTCAGCATAGCCAGGTGACAGCTTTTGTAATTTCTCTTTGAACCTTGTGTGCACAGCATTGAATGAATCATAATCTTTATTCAGGACACTTTTCACTAGTGGTCCCTGTAGGGCCCATTTGTAACTTACTAGCGAATTAGTTGTGTTTTGTTTTGTTTTGTTTTGTTTTTGAGACAGAGTCTCACTCTGTTGCCTGGGCTAGAGTGCCATGGCGTCAGCCTAGCTCACAGCAACCTCAAACTCCTGGGCTCAAGCAATCCTCCTGCCTCAGCCTCCCAAGTAGCTGGGACTACAGGCATACACCACCATGCCTGGCTAATTTTTCCTATATATTTTTAGTTGGCCAATTAATTTCTTTCTATTTTTAGTAGAAACAGGGTCTCATTCTTGCCCAGGCTGGTTTTGAACTCCTGACCTTGAGCAATCCACCCGCCTCGGCCTCCCAGAGTGCTAGGATTACAGGCGTGAGCCACCTCGCCCGGCCGCAAATTACTTGCTTTTAACCATGTAGTAAAATGTAGCTTCCATAAACCCACCACCCCAACAAAAGCTAGAACCATAACTATAACCCGCATCTAACCACGAGATCCCCCCAGCCCCATCACACATACACCCACACTCCTGCTGAGGTAGGTGGGCAGGTCCCTTTTGTTTATTAATTCAACAAATATTGACTGCACATCTTTGCTAGGCTAGAACTGTGCTAGAAGCCCCCTGCCACAGTAAGCATCATCCTGAATCCATGTCCATCATTCCCTTTCTTCTTTATGAAAAAGATTCTGTCCTATATGGAATCTTTGGGGACTTACTTTTTCCCTTAATATTAAATTGCCAATGTCATCTGTATTATTTTGTGTCACTGTAGCTCATTTGTTTTGACTGCAGCATAATATTCCATTGTGTGACTATACAACAGTCAGCTTCTTAAAGGCTGTCCTGAGATTGCATCCTAAAACTGAGATGTGTTCATTACTTCTTTTATTCGACAAATATTTATCCAGCACTCACTATCATGCATTGTGAGAGACATCGGGGGTGTGGTGATTAACACGACAGTCACAGTCCCTGTCACTCTAGCTTATAGTTTTGATTTGGGGTGTTTTTTTTCTTTCTCTCTTTTGTTTTCAAACAGGTGTGGAATTTCTTCCACAACCACCCCTCAGTGGATCGCAAGTGAAAACATACTAGCCACTGTTGGGTGCTGGGGTCACTTCAGCTCAGGGCTGAGGAAGCCAAGGCCCAGAGAGTGCAGACTCTAAGCCTCCTTTGTTCCCTCTGTGCCTCAGCTTCTAGCAAATTCTGGGCCCATCAGAGGTGTATAGTCAATATTTGTCAATTTAATAACAAACAAAACAAACTTGCCCTACCTACAGAAACAAACGCAGGCATGCACGCACAAGTAGACCCAGTGGGAATGAGTGAATGGACAGGGAAGGGCCCACTATTTAGTGGATGCTCTTAGTGTCCCTCCAGCCAGCCCGTCCTCTAGCCTCCCACAGCTCAACAAACACCCTCACACCTGCTCAACTAAAACCCAAGTGCATCCAGTTCATGGGCGAGGCCTGTTGCCTGTATCTTCCAAGCACATATAGAGTCTCTCTACCACCAACCTCCCTCTGTCTGCTCCTGTCCTCACCTTGCTCCTGCCATGCCCATCTCTATTCGGTTCCTCCACCCTCCCAAGCTTGTTCCCGCCTGCTCGGCTCCTTCTTGTCACTCAAGCCCCAGATCAGGTGTCACCTCCCCAGAGAGGCTCTCCCTAAACGCCCAGACCCCTCACCTCGACCTCCCACTCTCTGTCTCCATCCAGGCACTGTCTCCTGTCACCCCACCTGCATAGCACCCACCACTCTCTTATCTTTTCTGGTTTATCTGTTTATGGCCCATCCTCCCCCTCCCCAGGCCCTCCCCTCTCCTCTGAAATGCAGGCTTCCAGAGGGCAGGCTCGGCTGTCTTGTTTGGGCACTACTCCCATTCTTACAGAATTATTTCTTAATTGTCCTAGGCTCCTCCTGGAGTAGTGCCTGGTCCAATGTAGACACTCCACAGACATTTGATTAGTTTAATAATTAATCATTTAATGCTACCCATCCTGGTTTTCAGACAATTGGCATCAATCCTTTTCAGCCTTGACTTGACTGAGTTAGATGAAAGGACTTTGTAAACTGTTCATGCCCATCGAGTGTGAATCACTGCCGGTATTATTACCACCTGACTCCAGGCCCAACGATGCAGAGCCGCCTGATTTGTTCTCATCTTTGGCCTGGAAACAGTCCCTTCCCTCCAGCCCTGGTGACAGGGGACGAGAGACAGCTAAGAACCAGTCACAGTGCAGAGCCTAGGGTTCAGCCCAGTTCGCCATCATTCACTGAGTCTTTATTTGGCCCAAGCCCCGTGCTAAACACCAAGAGGACAAAGCCAATGAGAAAGAGTGGCTAATACTATTATTATGTGACAACTAAAAATAAAATTTTAACTTAAAAAAAAAAAAGAAAATCAACCAAAAATAAAAAGAGAGAAGGAAAACAGTGGCTGCTCATGGAGAGAAGTGTTGTGCTAAAGACCTGCACCAGGGGCTGCGGAAGGTCGGAGAATGGGAGGGAGGAGGGAAGGGCAGGCCACTGTGCGCCTGGCACTCCCACCAGACAGCTCATGCAACCTCACGGGAGCCCTTGGAAGGGGGTGCTATTTTTCCTTCTTTACAGAGGGTAAACCCTCTGTAAAGCTCAGAGAGGTTAAGGATCTTGCCTAAAAGTGCACTGGTGATGGGAGGCAGGGCCTATATTCCAACTGAGCCCCTGCAGACTCCAGAGCCTCCACTGGGACACCCATTTCCCAGTGTCATCGAAGGACAAGGCTGGGCACATCCCTCCAGCAGATACAGACTTGTGTTTGGGAGGAAGGGAGGAGTTCATCCTCCAGATTGCTGTGTCCACCGTGCTTAGCCGTGGGAGCCGGCAGCACCCCAGGACCCCTCATATCTAATCTGGGGCACCCACCCAGGGGTTAGAAGAGGCCGTGTCACTCCCAAGTGGGACTGGAAAAATTCCCTGCTGGTCATGCGCCTCCCCCAGCCACCACCAAGGGCGGTCATGACCTCAGAACAACAGGGCAGGCAAGTCCCTGGGTGGAGACCTAGACCACAGGCCCAGCTGCTACTCATCCCACCCAGGGATTCCAGATCCTATGCCAGACGGGAAAGGGAAGAGAGAGAAGGAAGGTTTCTGGGAGTTGGGGAAGGGTTCAAAGAGCATGCACCTGCACAGCATGCTTCCTTTAACCCTTCCCAGGCAGGAAGCCTTTGTGTCAGTGGCTCCTGCGTGTGACTCTACGTGGCTGTGTGTGCTGAGTGCACTCGTTAAGTGGTGTGAGCAAGCAGAAGTGCCTCTGTGTATATTTGTGTACCTGTGTCCATGGCAACCTAAGGCGACACTCAGAAGTACCATAGTGTTCTGCTAGGCTTTTTTTGTTTGTCTGTTTTATTAGGTACATCGTACATTCATTCAGTAAAGCACTTAAATCTAAAGTCTACCACCCAATAAATTTTTACACATATAAACACCCATGTAAGCACACCTAGAACAGATCTAAAAGTTTTCTAGCATTCCAGAAGGCTCTGTTGTGCCTCTTCCAATAACTGCCCCACCTCCCCAGTGATAACCACTGTTCTGCCTCTTATTGCTATAGACTAACTTTACCTTTCAAAAGCTATATAAATAGAATCATACAGAGTGTACTTTTTTGTATCTGGTTTGTTTCCATCACCATATCTATGAAATTCATCCCTGTCATTGCATTTAGCACTAGTTTACTCTTGTCCATTGCTGAATTATATTCCATTATATGAATATACCACAATTTGTTTATCTACTCCACCAATGATTGACATTTGGGTTTTTCCAATGCTTAGCTATTACGTATGAAGTGACTATGACCATTCACACACAAGTTTTTTTGCTAGGCATATGCACTTACTTCTCTTGGCTATATCGTGGAGCAGAATTGCTGGTTCATAGAATCATAGAATAGTTACATGTTTAGCACTAGTAGATTTAGCCAAACCATTTTCCAAAGTATTTGTATGAATTTACATTCTCACCAACAATGTATTACATTGTTCCACATCCTTGTCAACCCTTAGTATTGTCAGTCTTTTTAATTTTAGCCATTCTGGTGTTTATGTAGAGATATTTCATTGTGGTTTGAATTTGCATTTGCCTGATGAGAAATGATATTAAGCATCTTTTGGTACTCATTTAGCCCCTTGGGTATCCTCTTTTGTGAAGTGTCCAAATTTTCACAAAAATATAATATCTATAAAAATAGATAAATTTTTGACAAAAACAGACAGTAGAGTGGAATCACCTTGAGGAATTCGGCAATACTCACAACGACCCAGCAACCAGTTGTTTCTACTGTTGCTAACTAGTTGTCATAATCAATAAACTAGTTGAACCAGGTCAAATAGGTGCCCAAAACTAAATTTTTCATTTTGAACCAATTATGTGGATATCACAGAGCTTCCCAGCTGAGATTCAGCAGGGAAAAGGGAATACAGGCAAGAACCAAGAGCCCCGCCCCTAGGCTGCTAACCCCAGCCCCAAGAGGTTCCCACTCTCAGCTCACTGTTTCTCCTTCAATTCCAGGAGCCCAGCAGTGACCAACCCCTGAATAATAGCCAAGGTAAGCACAAGTCCTGCTTTCCTTTGTCCACCTCAGCCTCTGAGTTTCAGTTACCAAGTAGGTCCTAAGCCACTCTTGCATGGCCCTCACCAACACAACCAAGTGCTAAGTGCTATGGGTGACACCCACCCACTCATCCACCCATCATTCAGCAAACATATTAGGGGACTGTAAGTCCCAGGATTCATTCTAGAAGTAGGAGGCATGGTCTCTGGGGAAACAGAACCAACAATACTAAAACTCCAAGAGCACTGATTCTCCAATTCGTTCATTCAGTTGCTCATCCTCTTATTCATGCACTAAGACTGTAAGCGCCTGCCACGTGCCAGGCCCTGGGCTGGATGCTGGGCTGCTGCAGTAATAAGACAGCCAAAGCCCCTGCCCTCAAGGAGTTCATGGTCTGACCATGCTGCCAAGGAACAAGCCAGACAGAGGCATTTTCCCTGGTAGAAAAGAAAATAGCAGTGTTTGCCTGGTGTACAAGAGAAAAATAAGTTAATAAATAGAATGACCCCAAATTTCAGGTTTTTTTTTTTCCTTCTATTACATTTTCTTAAGCCATTGATATCCACTCCTGATAGCCAGCTGGGTCAGCAAAACAAATGAGCAAGGAAAAAATTAATATGAACACATCAGTAAGAAAACAGCCAAACCCACTTACTTTGACAGCTTATTTAGTTCCCAGTTCAGGGTCACTAGTTAATAATGATCACACGTAAGGTAATCTTCAACACATAAAATGGTGCAGACTTTGCACTTTGGACTTTGATACATCAATAGGCCATGGTGTCCCCAGAGAACACCAGGGTTCCAAGTGCTCCACCCCCTGAGTAAGCCTGAGAACTACGGAAGCAGAAAACAGGCTGAATTTGCCACCCATGCCTGGCGTAAAAGGTGCTCGGGAGGGAAACATCAGCGCTGCTCGCGTGGTCAGGTTAGCGCCGTGGGTCAGGCCCCGTAGGATAAGAAAGCTGTCACAAAACAGGGGGGAGCGATGAGGGTGTCGGTGGTGAAGGCAAGAGCCAGAGCTCTTCAGACTCAGAGGTAAGAACTAATGCGGGTTGTTGGAGGACCAGGGAGGGAACCTACCTACGCAGAGCTGGGTCTTGGGGAGGGCTGGCAGTGGAAGTCCATTTGGCTAAGAGTGTGGCCACATTACACTGGCTTTGAAAACCTAGAGGAGAGTGAAGTCCAGATGTAGGAGTCATGGGAAGCCCTTGTAGGTTCTTGAGCAGGAAGTGACAGGAAGAAGGCAACCTTCAGGAAGCTCTGTCTGGCAGCAGGGGGAGGACAGGCTGGAGGCAGGAACAATGCAGGCGGGGAGGCTACGCGGAGCTCAGTGGGTTCCTTAACTTAAACTAGGTGTGAAAACCCTTCCCCTCCTGATCAGGGAAGCAGATCCCCCCTGAGGACATCTGGGAGGTATGGGCCACAGAGCCACTGGGCCCTGCACACAGGGACTCGGGGCTCCCAATAGGTCATTCCCTCCCCAAGAAAACAAATCAATCTCGTATTCTCAGAGGTAGGTGCTCAATAAATAAATCATGCATGAATGAATGAACAAAATGTCACCACAGCCATGGCCCCAGGGAAGAGTACAATTCTGAACACTAGCTGCTGAAACTTTAAAAGCAAGAGAAGCTAACATTATTGATAAACTATTTCGTGCCAGGTCCTGATAGCTTACAGGCAACACCACCTACAGTCCCCGTCCCCAGTGCCTGGCCTCTGCATCTGAGGTTAGAACTCCCTTTCAGGGAAACGCTAAGTTTCCTAAGCTTTCCCTTCTCAACAGATTCATTAATATCAGCATTTATTGAGCACCAGTCTATGGCAGGATGCCATTCTCTCCTTTTGAAGAGCTGAGGAAAGGAATAGAGACAGACAGGTGACTAGCCATCATTCAAGGCACAATAAAATGAGACCTGCGAGAAAGATGGAAGGGACGTGCTTAAGAGGACGGAGGCAAGAGCAAAATTCATTTGTCCCTTCAGCAAATATTTATTGAGTGCCTGCTAGGGGCCGGGCACTGTCCTAGGCACCAGAGAGTCAGCCGTGAACAAAACAGACAAAAAGTCTTATCTTCATGGAGCCCTCATTCAGGGAGGGGTGGGAGAAGACAGGAAATATACACAAAATATACAAAGTATAGAGGATGTTAGAGATCATGAGTGCTTTGGGAAAAAAGAAAGCAAGGAAGGAGGATGGGAAATGTGGGAAGATTGCATTTTAAATATGGAGGTTAAGGAAGGGCTCGCTAAGAAGGTGACAGTGATGACAGACTGGTGGGGCGGGGAGGGAGAAAGCCAAGTGCAGGTGAGGGACAGGAGAGCCGGCCTGTTTCTTGCCAGGGTTTCCAAGTGTCACCACAATTCCTGCCCAGCTCTCCCTGCAGAGAAGTCCCCATGGCACCCCCTCAGCTTATGGCCCGAAAGGAGTGGGGACTTCAGAGAACCTACTTCTGATACTTACCGAGAATTTAACTTTTCAAAGTCTTTCCCATGTCCCACCTCCCGGATAACCACGTGCGATGGACAGCATGATCATTATTACCTCTGTTTTAGCAGTGAGAGGCTCCTCCCTGGTCTCCCTAACCCCAGACTCCTTGTTCCAATCCACCTCCTCGCTGATGAAACATTCATCTTTCTAAAATTAATTTGATCCTGTCTCTCACTGCCTTCAGGATAAAATCCAAGCCCCGTAGAGTGGTGTTCAGGAGTCTCCACAGACAGACGACGCTGGCCCTCCTCCCAGCATGCTCTGCTCCCTGGCATTCCTGGCCACCGGCCGCTCTAGCTCCCTCCCTGCCTTTCCTCAGCTGGGCCAGGCCCCTCCCCCCCCACCTGCATTTAAGTGCTACATCCTTTTATAAAAAAAATTCTTTTTCCTTTTTTTATTTATTAACTTATTTTTTTACCTATCCGATCACAAGCTTCCTTAAGTGCTACATCCTGAGGAAGCACTCACAAGTTCACTTGTTTTTTTGAGACAGAGTCTCACTCTGTTGCCTGGGCTAGAGTGCCGTGGCGTCAGCTTAGCTCACAGCAATCCTCAAACTCCTGGGCTCAAGCAATCCTTCTGCCTCAGCCTCCGGAGTAGCTGGGACTACAGGCATGTGCCACTAGCATGCCCGGCTAATTTTTTCTATATATATTTTAGGTGGCCGATTAATTTCTTTCTATTTTTAGTAGAGATGGGCTCTCACTCTTGCTCAGGCTGGTTTTGAACTCCTGACCTTAAATGATCCTCCTGCCTCGGCCTCCCAGAGTGCTAGGATTACAGGCGTGAGCCACCACGCCGGGCCTGCAGTTCACTTTTGATGGTGTCTCCATTATAGCTTGTACCCTCTTCCACCCAGAGGAACTGCCCTCTGTGTCCCTGTTGCCTCCTCCCTCCGATGTAACCTCCATAAAGACAAGAACCTTGCTGGGGACTTTGGACTGAAGTGGAGGTGGGGCTGTTGGGACGCATTCATTGGTTCACAAGTATTTAAGCAGCCTGTCCTGCAGGCCCCTGCCCTCCTGGAGCTTATAGTTTAATCAAAAGAGAAGTCAGGAGGTCAGGAAAAGGAGAAATGGCAGAACAATGAATGGGTGCATGCCACAGTGTGTGCCTGAGGGGCTCAGACCTTTCCCAGGGCAGGACAGGGGGAAACACCCTAGAACAGGCTCAGGCAGGACAAAGGGGAGGTGGCCTGGGCTGGCGGCTCCTTTGAGGGGTGCTTGTGAGAGATGGGTGAGCCAGGGTGAGTGGGAGAAGGTGGGGAGAACATGTGCTGGTGGAGCTGAGCCTGGTCTGCAGGGATAACCCCACCCCTACCCCCAGCATTAACCAAATCTGTCCCCAAGGCATTCCTGCAGCAGGCCCGGAGGGTGGGAGGCTGTGGGCCATGGCCAGGGAGCCTCCAAGTGCTGACTGTGCTCTTCCCCCTGCCTCACATCTTCTTGCAGATGCCGCCTCCCTGAGCAAACCCGGTACCCGTCTGAAGACCTTCAAGAAGGTGGGGATCCCCATCATCTCGGCAGTGGTGGGAGTCATGGCCATCGTCGTTGTGGTTATCCTCAGTAAGTGACAGCCCCTGTCCAATATTCATCCCCTAACTAAATGCAATGCCCCCCACCCTTGCCCCCTCAGTAAGAGGCAGCCCCACCCCCACCCTTACTCTCACCCCTTCAGCAAGTGGCAGACCTCCTCCACACCCTCCACCCTCCCACCCCACAGTCATGGGCATAAAGCTTTGCAGAAAAAGAAAAACATATATCCACATGTATCCACCCCCTGCTTTGAAGGGAGCTTTCTCCTAAGAGTGAAAGAGGGAGATGAACTCAGCCCCCACCTGTCCCACATGGCTTCCATCCCAGATGCGCTCCGTGGCTTATGTTACCAACCCACACAGGAGATTGCAGGGGCGGCCACACCCCCTGCCTCCTTCCCGTCTTCTGCCGATTGATGGCTGTGAGGATCTGAGCAACCCCACTGGCTGGAGGAACAGGGAGCATTTCTTCTATGGGCAGGGAGAGAGAGGAGGCAGCAGACCACCCAGGCAGACGCACACCTCCCCAACTTCAGCCAGTCTTCCTTGTGGCCAGTGCCCAAGACCTGCTGTGATTGTGAGCAGGTCACTCTGCCTCAGGCCCTCATGTGCAGTAAAGAAGATTGAACTGAATGAGCAGTGCTGTGGGTCCCCTTGGCTCCTATGTCCTGTGGCTGAGTCATTGCCTTTATTAACCACACAGTCACAGTGGGCTACTGACCACAGCTTTCACAGCAGGGAGCAGGGCACAGGGGACCAAAGTAGGAATCAGGACACCTGGGACGGAGATCTTGGCTCTGCCACTTGCTACCTTGAATAAGTCCCTCAACCTCTCTCTCTTAACGTCAGTCTCCTCACCTGTAAAATCTCCTGCCTCCCTCAGAACACTTTCACCAATGAGATAAGGTATGTAAAGGACCTGGACAAAAACCAGGTTTTGCAAGAGTGTGTGATCAGGCAGCATGCAGAGACGTGACCCAGCACACGCATTTGCTAACTGGGGCAGGGCTGTCAGTAGTTTGCTCTTGCAACTCTGGTGGCATTACCACCCAAAGTAGCCACTGCCTCATTGGAGGACACCCAGAGAGCCTCTGATCCAACCCCTCATTCTACACAAGCACTGAGGCTCAGGGAGGAGGCGTGACAGTCAGGGACAGAGCTGGGACAGGACTCCTGTCCCCCGATTTCCATCTCATGGCAGTGGAAATGCAGATCCACAAACATAAACGCCGCGACCCAGATCCCTGAGAGTCCTGGACTGTGTGAGCTGCAGGTAACCCCAAATCATTTCTTCTTGACCTTGGCTTGCCCAGCGTGCCAGTGGTTTTGCAGCAGCAGCAGACTTGCCATCCTGTGTTATTCAGACTCATGTTAAAGTGCGCTTGCTTTCTCTGAGCGTGTGCCCTGCCACAGTGGAGAGAGATGGGGTCAAGTTCATCCGGGGAAAGCCAGGCAGGCACTAAAGCATAACTGAGAGCTGGGTGCTCCCTGTCTCAGACAGCCTGCATGGCCCCCATGCCCTGAGAACTCCAGAATTCTGTAATCGGAGATGGTAATGCAATCCTTCCTCCTGGGCTAGGCCCCTCAAACTTTGTCTTTGGGGTCTCAACTGGTGACACTGTCTCCTGGCTCTGTCCCAAGTGGATGGAGTGACTCTGCCTTACTCAGGCTCCTGATCACAAACAAAACTCCAAGTATCTAGGTAGTATCTGACCTGCTCCTTCCTCCTTGTTTCACTCAAACCAGGAGCATGGGAGTCGGCAGATCATATCTGGAGTTCCTATGTCCAGATCATATCTGGACATAACAGGGTCCGTGTTAGACGGACCCTGGCTGTACCATATATGCATCGTTCACCCTTGAGAAATGAACCCTGACTCTAATTCTCAGTTTCCCCATTTGTAAAGTGAGTTAACAATGACATCTGTCTCCTAAGACTGTTGTCAGGATTGCATGAGGAAATGTATGGAAAGCTCCCAACACAGTGACAAGTGGGGACCATCATGAGATACATTGCCACCACTCTTAGGACGAGCCAGGGTTGATGCGGGACTAGAGAGGGGACCGTCGGGCCAAGAGGCACTCAGTTAGGAAGGAGGAGTTCCCTCCCGCCAGCGGTGTTCGGCTGTGAGTCTTCACCAAGGAGAATTTCCTAAGTATCTGCTCTCGGAGGGGTTAAAAACACTCACTGCGTTCCTGCCAGCCTGAGATGGCAAAGAAGCAACAGAATTTGAAGGCAGCTGGCAGAATCTAAAGATAGCACGCAAAAAAGCAAAACAAAGCAGCAACTCCTAATGGGGCTTTCATCCAGATAAAAGTGCCCCACTCTAGAACTGTGATTGATAATTACGAGCCACTGTCACAACTACCAGCTGTTGTCAACAGCCCTGCGAGGTAGGTATTATCATCCCATTGTACAAATGAGGAAACTGAGGACTGGGAAGGTAGGTGGCAAAGCCAGGACTTAGAACTGGGTCTTTGGACTCCAGCTCCCCTGTTCTGTCTCCTCCTCTGTTCCCAGAGGACTCCGAGACCAGCACTTGGGGGTAAGAGGCCAGTAGGGCCTATTTCTAAATTTCTCCCACACACGTTATCTCTCTCGACTCCTCGGCCATCTCATAGGCATGGGACTGGCATTATTACCCCTACTTTACAGATAAGGACATGGAGGCTCAGGTCTACCTACTGCCACGTGGCAGGACAGGGCCTGGACCCCACACCTGCCCGCCTCTAAGCCCAGCACTATCTTCAGGAAAGCACAGCCTCTCCCTGCGCTGGGCTGCCTGCTTGACTCTCAGCCCTCTCTGCCCCCTCCCTGCACTTGCCTTCCAGTAAAGGAGATTCTGGAGAGTTATTACTTCTTCTGTGATCAGCCCCTCCACTTCATCTCAAGGGAGCAGGTGTGCAACGGGGAGCCAGACTGCTCCTTGGGGGAGGACGAGAAGCACTGTGTCAAGAACATCCCTGAAGGGCCGAAAATGTCTGGTGAGTCTAAGGGCTGAGGGACAAGAGAAGCGGGCACAGCAGGAAGCCCCCTCGGCCCCGTGGTGCACTGTAGAGCACGTGTCAAATTACTTGTCAGTTTCCAACCCTTTTGTACAAGGTTCTTGCTGGCAGGAAGGACCATGCCTGGTCACCTTTAGGTCCCAGTCCTTAACACATAGCAAGCAGTAACTATCTGATGATCAAATGTGGCCAAAGGGGACGGGAAGGTGTAACTGAGCTGCCCCATCCCTGCTGTGCCTGGGTGGATTTGAGGCAGAGGGCTAGATTGGATGATCTTGGGGAATTCCTCCTTTCTATGAGATCTGCTATTTCAAGCAGACGAGAAAGGAGACGAAACAGCCATTTAACCAGCTGTTCATTCGTGATTATTGTAACATGTCAAGTAATAGGACCGAGCCGGGTCCTGCAAAGAATACAAGGTGTTTTGAGCATAAACACCACGTTCTTTCTCCAGGAGATGGGGGGCTTTTGAGGGGCAGGGCTGAATGACTTCCTGTGTATTTGCCCTTTCATTATCAGAAGTCAAATGGCTGCGGGCACCTGCCATCTACCGCCAGTGGCACTTCTCATGCCATCTGTCTTTACATGGAGAAGGACCTAGGTTGCCTCTCTGAGAAGTTTCCTCAGGTGGGGCAAGTCGCGTGGACCGTGGTTAGGTGACCATGTCCTTTATCATCAAGACTGATACCTGTAAGACAAAAGGGGGCGCTATTATTCAACGTGCGAGGGCAACAGGTCAAAATGGAGATTGACCCCAGGACATTTGGTCACCTTAGATACTATCAAAACAAGGCTCAAACAGACAAAGCCAAAGGAAGGAACTTCCCTTGATGTTGAAAGTGTTGGTGCTCTGTGGTGCCCCCAGTTCTGGGTTGGGGAAGCTGGGGCTGGGGTCATGATAAGTTCTGGGGGGAGATGGGCCAGGTGGGCCCCCACCCTCCAGCTGACCCAGGTTCCTGTCTTCCCAGTTCGCCTCTCCAAGGACCGATCCACCCTGCAGGTGCTGGACCAGGCCACAGGGAACTGGTCCTCTGCTTGTTTCGACCACTTCACAGACGCTCTGGCCAACATAGCCTGTAGACAGATGGGCTATAGCAGGTACCCAGCCCAAGCCTTTGGAGGCTATCACCTTACCCCTGCGACCTCCTCGCTCCTTTCTTCCTCCCTCTTTCTCCTTTCCTTCCTCACTTCCTCCTTCTTTCCTAAAAATACAGGCATTGGAGCCAAACAGAACTTTTGGATCCCAGTGCTCTCACTTACAAGCAACATGAAGTTAAATTTCCTAAGCCTCAGTTTCCTCAAGAGTTACTTAGGGAGCCGGGCATGGTGACACACACCCGTAGTCCCAGTTGCTCGGGACGGTGAGGCAGGAGGATTGCTTGAGCCCAGGAGTTCAAGGCTGCAGTCAGCTATCATCATGTCACTGTACTCCAGCCTGAATAATAGAGCAATTCCCTGTCTCTAAAAAGAAAAAAAGTTAATTAGGGAAAGCCATGCCAATTTCCTAGGATGATTATGGGGTGCCAATGAAAGAATGTGTGAAGTCCCCTCCAACACACACACGCGCACACACACACACACACACACACACACACACACACGAGTTCCAGCTTCTATGCAGTACCCTCTCCTTACCTTTATCTTCAATCCTCACTCCTTCATCCCAACTTTGCAGTTGTCCCTTTCCAGTAATATAAAAGCCTAATTTATTTATCGAAAGTCCCGTGGGTTACAGTTGAGTTTAAGCGAGCCTGATTTTGTTGGAGCCCCATCATCAGCAAGCCCAGCTCTCTCAGCAAATTTTAAACGCAGCTCCAAATCTGGAGTGGATGAAAAGGTATATAATTATAATAAGAGTAACTAGCATTATGGATATTTATATTCATTTGGTCTTGGCAGACAACCAAAAAGGTAGTTATTAATATTATACCTACTTTATAAATAGACTCAGAGAAGGCAAGTAACTTGCTTGGGTAGGTGCTGAGAGGTAGAGGGCTGGAATTTGTGCCTAAGACCCCTGATTCCTGGGCATCAGGAGTTCCAGTGCCTCTTTCTTCAGGTTGGATAATGCCCTCTTCTCATGGAGGTTCGTCTATAAAGGAAAGAGAGATGAGACAGTCCCTCAGAGAGCCTAACCAGAGAGGATGGAAAAGAACACACTTATTCAGTTGCAGAGTGGGATAATCAATCTATCCTTGGCAGGTCCCAAACTTCTTCAGGATTCTAAGAAACTGGACCCAGAGACGAGGCAAAAACAATAACTACTAGGTAGACATCACCAGTCAATCACAGACCTCTCTCCCAGTGATCCCCAAAGCAGCCTCAAGGTCCTTTTTCAACAAATGCTCCAGGCAGCCATTACGAATCAATCAGACCTATTTGCCCTCTCTGCTTATCAGGCTTCTGCTGTTCTCGACCCTCCATGGGGTGCAACTCCTAGTTGCAACTCAACCCTCTAGGAAGGACACCCTGCCACCTTCATTTTAAAAAGAGCAGGGGAAGGTACCCCGCACCTGCTGTTCTCTCCTACGGCCTCCTCAGCCCAGCCCCGCTGCAACCAGCCCCTCCTCCCCACTGTAGTCCAGTCAACTGCAGCGTCAGCTGTACCTAGTGCCGCAGGCTGAGGCTTCATTATGAAACCTGGGTGTCTCCAGGAGTTCTTAAGGTGGTAGGCTCCTGGAATGTCTGTCCTTGTGGAGCTTACTAAGGCACCAAACCACCTGGCTCCAGTGCTCTACAAAATCAAAATTCATCAGAATCCTTCATCAGAATGTAATTGGTGAATAGGGGTTAAATTTCCTAGGAATGCCTGTTTCCACTATATCCCTCTTCTGGATCTCAGATTTCTCTACTTTCCTCCCCCTGGACTGGATGTCCTTGTTCTAGGACCACAAAATCAAGGTGAGGTGGACAGTATGGATCATCTGGTCCACACATCATTTTACGGAGGAGGAAACTAAGGCTTGAAGAGACCCAGAGAAGGAATGTGACCTGCTCAATGTCACACATCCAACTAATGTTGGAGCTAGGACAAGAATCTAGGTCTTTAGGGCTCTTAAAACAGACTCTGATCCTCCCGGGTCCAGGACCTAGGTCCACCCAGGTAGTGCCAGCTTTCCTGCCTGAGAATGTGCCATTCAGCCAATGCCATGGATTGACCCAACCCTCCATCCAGAGCTTGTACTAGCACTTACTAGCATGATTGGGAAAGAAGGAAAAGATTTGGAAGAGGCAGATTTAGTAAAGGTATAATCAGACAGCTGGGATTATTCAGGGAAGGCTTCCTGGAGGAGGGAAGACTTAAACCCAAAGTTTGAAAGAAGGCAAGCATAGGTCAGCAGAGAAAAAGAGGGAGGGTGGTCCAAGGGAGAGAAATGTTTGTCTGGATTCATAGGAGGACTGATCTAGCCTTCTCCTATCTGCAAGGAGACCATACGTGTAACCCCACTATCAAAGTTGGACCAGATGCCTTGTTTGGAGAACTGAATATCCACATCTCCTCCAAGGTGAAAAGGGAGCTACCCTAGGTCCTTGTGCCTCTTTGTTCTCCCTGCTATGAACCAGAAGAAACTGCTGGGACATTCGAAATAGGGACAGAGCTAGGAGTTTGAAAGGAGGATCCCTAACATTTCTCCAGAGCTCTGGGTTCTGGGCTGGGAGTCCCTGCCTGAGAAAGCAAGGCCACATCAGCACTGTGCCAAGAGAATGTTCCTTATTGTATAGCAAAGCGGGCCCCACCCTCTCTGACCAAGACCACCTCTACTAAACACCCCCCTCGCTCTCCACCATCCTCTCTCCTGGGAGTAGGGACTACTCCTACCATCTTGTTCTAACCTCCTGCCCCATCTCACAACTCTCTCTTCCTCCTGATGTGAGTAGCAAACCTGCTTTCAATGCTGTGAAGATCGGCCCAGACCAGATGCTGGATGTTGCCGACATCACCGAAAAAAGCCAGGGAGCTTCATGTGCAGAACTAGTAGGAGTAAGAGGACATCGTCTGGCCTGCAGAGGGCTGCACTGGTCTGCTCTTAGGGCTGCAGCCAGCTCACCCTGAACAGACGAGCAGCAAGGGGGATGTAAGTCAGACAACTGGAAGAACTCCTAGCCGATCATTAAATGCCAAGAGCTATAGAATCACATTTCTGATAGGTTTTCTGTGTTGACTTTTTTTTTTATTTCGGCATATTATGGGGGTACAGATTTTAAGGTTTCAATAAATGCCCTTTCCCCCCCCCCCCCACAAGTCTGAGTCTCCATCATGACCATCTCACAGATGGTGCACATTCACTCATTATATATGTATACACCCCCCCTCCCCCTGCCCAATACCCTATTACTGCAGTACCTATGTGACCACTTAGGTGCTGTTCAGTTAATACCAATTTGCTGGTGAGTATATGTGGTGCTTGTTTTTCCATTCTTGGGAAACTTCACTTAATAGTATGGGTTCAAGCTCTAACTAGGAAAATATGAGATGTGCTATATCACCATTGTTTCTTAGAGCTGAATAATATTCCATGGTATACATATACCACATTTTATTAATCCATTCTTGGATTGATGGCACTTGGCTGTTTCCACAGCCTTGCAATTATGAATTGTGCTGCTATAAACATTCGAGTGAGGTGTCTTTTTTGTAGAGTGTCATTGGATCTTTTGGGTAGATGCCCAGCAATGGGATTGCTGGATCAAATGGTAGATTCACTTGTATTGCTTTAAGGTATCTCCATATTGCTTTCCACAGAGGTTGAACTAATTTGAAGTCCACCAGCAGTGTAGGAGTATAGAATTTTTTATTTTTCATCTTGATTTCTTCATTTATGAAGTAATCATTTAGTAGGAGGTTGTTTTAATTTCCACGTTTTGTGTAGAAATGTGAGTTTCTGTTAGGGTTGATTTCTACTTTATTCCACTGAGATCTGAGAAGGTACATGGTATGATTTCTATTTTTTAAATTTCTTGAGATTACTTTGTGTAAATCTCTAGGATATGTGTCAATCTTAGAGAATGTCCCATGAGCTGTTGAGAAGAATGTATATTCAGTGGATTTGGGTAGAATGTCTGTAGATGTCAGTCAAACCCAGTTGTTCCAGAGTTTTTTAAGTGCATCATATTTTTATTAATTTTCTGTTTGGAGGATCTATCTTGTGCCGTCAGTGGGTTGAAATCTCCGGTGATTATGGAGTTGCTATTAATCCTTTTGCTTAGATCCATAAGGTTTGCTTTATGAACTGGGTGCACCTAAGTTGGGTGGCATATATATTTAAAATTGTTATCTCTCTTGTTGAAGTGTGCCTTCACGCGTTATATAATGACCCTCTTTGTCTTTCACTACTTTTGTTGGTTTAAAAACTAAATCGTCTGAAATTAGAACTGCACGCCAGCCTTCTTTTGGCTCCACTTGCCTGGAATACTGATCTCCACCTTTTACTTTTAGTCTATATGCATCCTTGCAGGTTAGATGTGTTTCCTGAAGACAGCATAGACTTGGCCTGTATTTTCTTATCCATTCAGCCAGCCTATGCCTCTTGAGTGGAGAGTTTAAGCCATTCACATTTATTGAGAGAACTGATAGGTAAAGTAGATTACTGTTCATTCTGTTGTTTGAATTTTTGCTTTGATTCTCTCTTGAGCCATTGTATTATCGACCTTTAATATTTGGGTTTTGGTTGTTTTAATATTGTGGAGTTTTATTAGGTGTTCCGTGCGTAGCACTTTGTTGAGTACTTCTTGTAGGGCTGGTCTTGTCTTGGTGAATTCTCTGAGACTTTGCTTGTCTGAGAATGTCTTTATTTCTCCTTCATATATGAAGCTTAGTTTTGCAGGGAAGAAATTCTAGGCTGGGCATTGTTTTGTTTCAGAAGAGTGAGAAGGTGGGGCCAGTCTCTCCTGGCTTGTAAAGTCTCATTAGAGAAGTCCTGTGTGTTATTGAATTGGCTTCCCTTTGTTAGTCACTTGCTTCTTTCGTCTTAACGTGGCTTTAGGGCTTTAGTGATTTTGTCAGTCTGATGACTGCATTGTGTGACGTTCTTCTGTTTGCATTGAATCTCAGGGGTCCTCTGAGCTTCTTGAACTTGTATATCGAGATTTTGAGCAAGGCGCGGAATTTCCTCACTTTATATCTTCAATAGCTGGTCCACCCTTGGGTGTTGTCTTCTTCCCCTTCGGTAACCTATGACCCTCCACATTAGGTTCTTCCACTAATCCACTCTTTCAGGCTTGCTCTTTTCTCTTGTTTCTCTGCTCTATCCTGTGATGGTTTTATTAGTTGGCAAGGTGTTATCTTCAAGCTCTGAGATTCTTTCTTCTGTTTGATCTACCTGTTCTTGAGACTTTCACCTGTATTTTGTAGTTCCTGAATGATTCTTCATTTCAGGAGTCGGTTAAACTTTTCTTCATTGTGTCCATTTCTTTTTCAGATCCTGGAGGGCTTTTTGTGGTTTCTTGTGTTGGTTATTGAGTTGTTGTTGCAGCTCGGTGAGTGTTCTTATGATCCACATACGGAATTCCTCTTCTGTCATTTTGGTTGCCTGATTTGGGTTGGTGTCCGTTTCTAGGGGGCTGGTGCTCCTCTTTGGGGGTGTTTTTCCGTTTGGTTCTTCATATTTCACTGTTCCTTTCGCTGATTTCTCCCATTTGATCGTCTTGTTGTTTTTCCTTTAGGTTTTGTTTGGTATTCACACACCTTGTTTAGTTTCTGAGCGTTAGGTGGTGTCTGTGGGTGAGATTGACCACTCCCTGTATATGAGTCAGTGGGTGCAGTGATAAGGCTGTGGCAGGAATGCCTGTCCCTTCAGTAGGGTGGCTTGGCTGGTAGGAACAGGCTAGCCTCGTTGTTTTTTGTGTCCTGTTATCAGCCTTTCTGGGCAAGGCTGGTTGGAAGCCTGGCCTCCCAGGCACCACCCAATGCCATCAGGCAGGGTAAGTTCTGTTCTCTGCTTCCAGGAAAGCGTCCAGGGCAGGGCTGAATGGTACTCAGCAGAAAACTGCTTTGTGGGGGGGCTGTCTGAAGACCGCAGCTGGAGCGGGCCTCCCGGTTCTTTCGCACCCTCCCCCAACTCCCGCAGCTACTCCTGGGGCCTCTCGTGCAGTAGTCCCGACAACGTCACGCCAAGGCCCTACGCTGGATTGTGAATGCCTGCGGGGGGAGGTTTCCGGTGCACAGAACGCATGCCTGGGCTGGGCCACGGGCATCCTTTGGTAGGAGGGTTGCCTCTAGGATGCTGACTGCCCCTGGAGGCACACACACTCCAAGGCCTGTTCACAAATCATCCTTCCTGTGTCCCGGGCATTGCTAGACCTCCCCCGGGTGGCACGGGATTCTGTCTGCGTTTTCGCGACTGTGGGTCCCAGGAGTTCAAAACTGTATCCCCCACCAGGGGAGGAGGTTCGCAGTCATTCACCCAACAGAAGAGCCAAGCTGTGTCTGTGTCTCTCAGCCTCTTGAGGTGCGGCCACCCGTCTCCTGGAAAAACCCGTGCCAAGCGGCACCCTGGGAGGGCTGGGGTAGGGCGGGCCCACAGTTGGTTCGTTAGTCAGCTGTAGGGTCCCAAAAGGAAAGGCGCGTTCCTGGCGATGGCGTCCGGCTGGTGGCTGTATTGTCTTCTGGAACTGCACGGTAGGGTTCGGGCAGAGGGGAGATGAGGAGGCAATATGCTGCCTGCCGCGCAGCTCGGGTCTGTGCACAACGAGGTGCAACAGGGAATTGGAGTCTTGTGCCGTGTCCGCTACAGGGCTCACCCGCTACTGGCCGGCTGTCTCTGGGCTGGTGTCCAGGTTCTCCACCAAAAATAAGCGCTGGGGAGCCCACCATGCAGTCCCAAAAATGGCAGGGGAAGAGAAGTGTTTTTCCACCTACCGCCTCTCTCCTGCTTGGTCTCGGGCTGCTCCAAGCGGTTCAGCTTCCCAGTTTCTGCTCCGAAGCCTCCTCCCGTGGAGTCTCCCGGTGTCTCAGGTACCCCTCCTTCCGGCCCTCGTCTGCTGTATGCTCGCCTTCTTGCTTCTTTTTTCTAATTTCTGCTAGAATCTGTCTTTTCTGCAGAGACACTCTTTCTGGCTTTGTTTCTCGTCCGCCATCTTGATCCTCCCTGTGTTGACTTTTTAAATACAATGGACAGCTGGACAAAGTGCGCTGTCCTATGCTAAGGCAGAAGGATGGGTCAAGTGACCTTTCCATCAATCTGAATAGTAAAACCAAATGTTTTTTTGCTAGTGCCTTAGGTTTTCTAATAAATTTCCCAATGAGCAAGACTGCAAAGGTCATTTGTCCTTCCCCACCACTTACCCAAGCCAGAGTAAGACCTCTCTACCTGCCCAATGCTCCAGGGAAGAGACTCCATGGCCCATTGATGGCCTACTCCTATGCCTCACCACCCTGCTAGAGCACAGCATCTTGATGAAATCTGTCACACTGCAGTAAAGTGGCTCAGAGAAGATGCTGGCTTAGCATTCAGCAGTGTTGCTGAGGGTGGCATGAATAAATCTTGGAAAGGACAGGTAACAGAATGATTGTTAGCCTGGACTCCCATAGAAATCCATTCTTCTTGCATTTGGAAAGTCATCAGTACAGCAGACTCTGTTCCAGGCTCTTCTGTCTTCCCTTTCAGGCTGCCAGAAGCCTGGGTTAAGATTGGAGGCAGGCAAGGCCTAGCACATAGTACGTGCTCAACAGTGAAGATGTTGAATCAATTCTAATTGAAGTATATGTGCTGTTTCTAGACAGTCCCCCATGCAGGTTCCAGATTCCCCAGGTATTAGGAGGGGACTTGAATTACCATCGCTAGAAGGCCTGAGTCACTCACTGGCCTCCCAGCCAAGAGAGGAGCTGAAACCACAGGTCTCTTTGTGTCTCTTCCAGATCCTGTGCCTCAGGCTCCCTGGTTTCCCTGCACTGCCTGGGTGAGTGTGCCCCAGCTCTGGGGGTTCAGGGCCTGGGCCAGCAATGTGCAGGGAGGAAGGCCTTTGTCCTTTTCCCCAAATCTCAGACTCCAAGTTTCATTCTGTTTTGGTCCAACCTTACTACTTCAGTCCTTGGACTTGTGGGTCAATGCTCCTTCTTGTGGTTGATGTTAAGAACTCCCTTTTCCCATCTGCACATGGCCCCACGACCTACGTGGGGACCTGAGAGAGAGTGGCCAATCAGGAAAGGGCAGGACTGGGCCTCCAACCCTTCCCACCCCTGGTCAGGGCACATGTAACCTCCTTTGTCAAATCAGCCCTGATATTACCCACATTCACTTGGGCAAACATTCACCGAACAGCTAGAATGTGTCTAACCCTGTCAGATGCCGGTTGGGAATAGAAAATACCAGACATGTAAAAGAATTGGCCACTGTCCTCCACTGAGTAAGAGAGAAATGCAAGACAACATGTGGGAAGTGCCAGACCAAGTGGCAGTCACAGTTGACATGCTGCAGAGAGAGCTGGGCAGGGGTCAGAAGACCTGGACACCCGTCCCCGTCACATCTAGTGTGACCTTGAATAATTCACCTGACCTCTCTGAGGTCTATTTTCCTAGGAAGCCCTTTAGTCCATCTGAACAGTGAGGATCTCGGGGGACCCTTCTAGCTCTAACAGAGCAGGAAAGAAGGGAAAACCAGAACTGTGGCCGGGCTCATCCTCCCAGCTTCTTGGAGAAGCACTAAGCCGGGCCTGGAAGGGTGGCCAGAAATTGGAAAGCCCAAGAGAAGAGGAAGAAGGTCGCATCACTGCCTACGCAGTGTGACAGTGTATATGCTTCCCTGTGGGATGTTAAGACTTTTATTCAACATCATGTGACCCCTCCCCACAACCCCTGGCGTGTGGGATCTGACACACGGTGGCTGGTCAATGGATGAATAAATGAGGAAGGAACAGCCACATCATCTGCGATGCTGCACAGAGTAGCCCTGAAGGCGCAAAGCAGCTTGAGTGACAGGTCTTCCCTCAAGGAGCCTCTGTCTCACCGGGAAGACAAGGCCTAAGCATAACCTCATTGAAAAGCTGGCCAACACTCTGGCAGGCTAGGAAAACTCCAAGAGAGGAAAACCCCCAGGGATTTGGTGGCCTAGAGGCGGTGCCCAGACTAAACACTGAAAACTGAGTCTGCAGGTGCCAGCAGGGAGGGACCATGTCTGTCTTTCTGTCTTGCCCACCACTCTCTCCCAGCACCCAGTATGGTAGGCACTTGGCACAAATTTGTTGCATTAATTAATGATTTAGATAAAGAGGAAGAGAGGCAGCATTTCAGAAAGAGGCAGCTTCCTTAATCAAAAACAGAATGACTTTTTAGGGAGCTGCAAGGAGATTGTGGGAGTCTCTTTATTGTTACTCAGCGGGAGGGGCTGGGGGCACTCCACCTGGGCAGGGCTTTCATAATTTTGCCTCACCCTTTTGTTGGGGGGTCATGAATTCCCAGCACAATAGACACGTCCATGTTCACAGTCTAAACTCCTAAACATACCCAAAGCCAAAAAAAGAAAGAAAAAAAGGAGAGGAAAATTTGGGAAAAGCCAGTGGTCTAGGACACTCAGTATCTCCCCATGAATAATTCCAAAATGGCCTGGTCCTCCTCTGTCCTCCCGGCCCAGTCACAGGGGCTGTGCTCAGGGTGGATGTTGGACCCCAGGGGGAAGCAGCCCCGTCCCCCAGAGCCTGACTTGCTGCTTTCTCCTCCTTCCACTGAGTCCAGCCTGTGGGAAGAACCTGAAGACCCCGCGGGTGGTGGGCGGGGAAGAGGCCTCTGTGGATTCTTGGCCCTGGCAGGTCAGCATCCAATACGACAAACAGCACATCTGCGGGGGGAGCATCCTGGATGCCCACTGGATCCTCACGGCAGCCCACTGCTTCCGGTAAGGCCCCGGGCTGTGAGGAGGCCCGTGGGGGAGGGAAGAGGGCCAGGAAGGGGCAGAGCTTGGGGCCCTGTCTCCTGACGCCTACCCCCTCCTCACTGTCCCCTAGAGACCACTGCCAGAGTGTGGCCGCCCCAGTGAGACTCTGGCTGTGATGCCCTTTGGTAGGCACTGGGGTCTGGGCAGAGGGTGCTGGTCATCAAGCCAAGCATGACCTCTTCCCAGTGGGAGCCCATCAGATATCAGGTGTCCTCACCCCACCCCCACGTTGTTCACTCCACAAAAGCTCTTCTGCTCTGCCTGGACTCCTGAGAACTCCCTCTCTGTTTGCCAGTCTTCCAGGAAGTGGTTCCAGGATCTCGAGTCATGACCACTCATGCATTATGTCCAGAAACTTAAAAAAATTAAAAAGTATAGATTCCCTATCCGTCCAGCAGAGAACAGCCTGGCCAGACCTCTAGGAAGGGGCACTCCCAGGTGCTCTTTTATTCATTCATTCATTCACCATCTAATGAGCATCTACCCAGGTACCAAGCACCAGATATGTGCCCAGGCACATTAGACCCCATCACTGCCTTCAAAGAGTTCACAGTCTGGGCCAGTGGTTCTTAACTTTGTTTTGAGAATCTGGCAAGAGCTATAAATCCTTCCTGGAAAAACACCCACACACACTAAGCTGTGTCTGGCATTGGGATAAAGAAATGCAAGCACAAAATGTAACTGACCACAACATAAGTACCAAGTGAGTAACACAGATGGCGCAAAGGGCTGGAGGAGAGAGTGCCGGGACCCCAGAGCCCAGGCATTGGAAAGAGCCCCTTCCCCAGCCCTCCTTGAAGTTTCCTTGGGCAGGTTTCACTGAGCAAATCTCCCTTGAAAATTTGGCTTCTGGTAGGTGAGTCCTCAGACTGGCCCTTCTCCACCATATACCTTCTAGGGCAGCAACACCCAGCACCCCAATCCCAGGGCCCTGGGGACCCTGCCTTTGGCAAAGCCTCCTCATGCTTGGCTCAGGCCTGAACCCAGCTGTCTCTGCCCACAGGAAGTATCTCCATGTGCCCAGCTGGAAGGTCAAGGCTGGCTCGGACAGACTTGGCTACTCCCATGGCCTATCTGTGTCCAAGATCATTGTCATTGAGCTCAACCCCATCTACCCCAAAGAGAAGGACATCGCCCTCATAAAGCTGAAGTCCCCACTCACATTCTCAGGTGAGAGGTGGTACCTGGGAGGACAGCCTGAGGGTCACCTGAGCCTCTTACGTCAGGTTTCACTCCCACTGGGCCACTAGCTCACTGAGTGGCCCTGGCACATCAGTTCCCCTCTTAAGTCTCAGCCTGCCCATTAGTTTCCAGCCATTACGTCAGCCTAACATCAGCGATGCCATGAGATCCCGTCGAGCTGTCAGCTAGCACCCCCCAACCATCCCCTGTTGGAGATCCTTCCAAGGTCTGTTTTCTCTATAGGACCTTTTTAAAAGATCATCCAGTTCATTCCCCAACCATGACCAATGCCCAAGAGCCTGCACCGTACCTCTGCCAAGGGGCCATTTTGCGCCCAGTTGCTCTCTTCCGGGAGCAGAGAACTCCTTATTTCTAAGGCAGCCCACGGAATCTTCGAACAGCTCTGTTAGCCGCCCCGTGTGTATACTGAACAGTATTTCAATCAGCATTTCCCACTGTGGTCTCCACAGGACAGTGGTCCCTTAGGGGAGAGAATGTTCCATTGTCAAATAAGTTTGGGGAACATTTTCATACTAGAGCTTCCTTCTTAGAGCACATTTGTTTATTAAAGGTATGATAAGTTTTTTAAAATAATCCGTTTTATTATGTTTAATCTGCATTTTCTAAATTATTTAGCCACAGAATCCTTTTTTATGCCACTTCTCCCAGCATCCTACAGAGCATGTGTTATAGACACCTGGTGAAACCCTTTCTGGGGGCTTAGCTGGCAGGCTTTCCGGAACCCCAAGTTTGTTTCCAGAGATTTGTGCCTGGGATTTGTTTTGATCAGGTATGGTAAGGCAACAAAACTATCTTTGAGAGAACAGTTTATTATTTATGGTTCCTGAGGAAAAGGGACATACCTCGACAGGCCACGCAGGGCCACATGGTGAATCACCCGGGGCAGTGGGGAGGCAGAAGGCAAGAGGTGAAAGTGTGGCTCAGAGTCACTGCTGTGGTTTCCATGGGAAGGTCTGGACACGGTAAGGCAGGCAAGTTTGAGCAAGCATGGGTTTGGATAGTGTGAGCAATTCTCTGGGCTATGGAGGTTGGTCTCTAGTTGTCTGGTACCTGGTCCTGGAGTGATTTAGAGCAGGGAAAATATTGCCTTGGCGTGTGAGAGTTAGGTAAAGGAGGTGGTTGGGGGTGTGAGCATTGGATTGGTTGGTTTGCATATTAAAGGCATGCCCACATGCAAGTTGTTTACGCCCTGCAGAAATTAGCTAACCACATCTCTCCCAGACCAGCAACAAGATCCCCATGATCACAAAGCAGCATAAAATACAGAAAATAAAAAGTATGATTAATACAGGGTCTCCCTCTTCTTCTCTGCTCCTGCAGACACAATCAGGCCCATCTGCCTGCCCTTCTTTGATGAGGAGCTCGCTCCAGCCACCCCAGTCTGGGTCATCGGATGGGGCCTTACGGAAGAGAATGGAGGTAAGTTCCGGGCTCAGGACCACAGGGCAAGAGATGTCCTTCTTTGAGGGAGCAGTTCTCCCAGAGGTGACGGGAAGGAGGATCATCCTTCAGAAAAACCCATCCTGAAGGACCAAGCACCAAGGTGCCAGGCAAAAAGCAAAGTGGTTTGGTGATGCAGAGAATTAAGCTGGGGAGTACAAGGAAAGAATGGGAATATAAGTATGTTTTCAACCTCCCAGGGAAGATGTCTGACATACTGATGCAGGCATCAGTCGAGGTCATTGACAGCAGAAAGTGCAATGCAGAGGATTCGTACCAGGGGGACGTCACTGAGAAGATGTTGTGTGCAGGCATCCCGGAAGGGGGCGTGGACAGCTGCCAGGTGGGACCTCCAAGGATCGTGAGGAACTCTATGACTAGAGATGTAGGTCCTAGAGAGACAGGAAGACCCAGAGGCTGAATGCCCCATGTGAAGTCTTGTATACAGCAGGCACTCAATGTGGGATGACGGGAGGAAGAGAGAGAGGGAGGGAAGGAAAGAACACAATCAGATAAAGACATAAGAATGGAAGGGGGCTGGGTGTGGTGGCTCACACCTGTAGTCCCAGCAATTCAGGAGACTGAGGCAGAAAGATTGCTTAAGGCCAGGAGTTGGAGATTACAGTGATCTATGACCTCACGACTGCACTCCAGCCTGGGTGATAGCCCCATCTCTTAGATAAGCAGAAAGATTTCAGATGTCTACTTCACACACAAACATGACATTACTCACCCTCCTCACCCACCTTTACTTCTCACAATCTACAGGAGTATAGGCTGGACCCCCAGGTTTGTTTCCTCTGTGACTGTCCCCACACTGCTGCACTGCACTAGAAAAAATCTCCCTCATGCTGGATGGACCCTGGTGCATGTCCCCTCACCCCACCCTCGCTGGCCTTCAGCACAGCTTAGCGATCCCTGTACATGCTCACTAGCCCACACGGCCAGAGGTTCTCCTGAGCCACTGTCATTAGAACCCCCAGCCCTGCTCTCACCCCCATTTTCAGTCACTAAGTTCCTTCATGCAAGAGGTATGTCTTAGTCATCTCTTGTGTGCCCCAAACATGGCGGGCTTTGGGGACAGTGTCAGCCCTTGGGGAGCTCATGGTGGAGGTGGTGGAATGCATAAATAGGCAGGTAGGCTATCGTGTTATTGGGTTCAGAGGGAAGGAGCCCCAGGACCTATCAGAGCCAGTAAGGACCCCAAATAAGTGTACTGTTCACTATCTTTTTCTTGTTTTGTTACTTGCTTGTTTACTGTCTCTCTCCCACCCCATTTGATTCTAAGCTTCCTGACAGTAGGGATCTTTGGGGGTATTTTTGTTTTTGTTTCCATTAGTTGAATCCCAATTGCTTAGAATAGGGTATTCTATATTACCTATAGGGTATTCTATAAATTTGGGAGCTACTAGGTTAAACAAAGACAACCAGGCTTCCTTACTGCACCCCTCAGAGCCTTCAGTCTGCTAGTGTGAGTTGTGAGTCTCCAGGAGAGGGCTGACAGCACACCCACAACTTCCTTGACCCCAAACAGACCATTTTGCCCCATAAGGAAGAGCATTCTGGGGTGCAGGAGCAGCAGGGAGCACAGGGAGCACTGGGATACAGGTGGGCCAGTTCAGGGAGGGGAGGAAGAAGCCCAGCCCCTGGCCGGCCCTCCCAGCAGCCCCTGTTCTGGCCTCTCCCAGGGTGACAGTGGTGGGCCCCTGATGTACCAGTCTGACCAGTGGCAGGTGGTGGGCATTGTCAGCTGGGGCCACGGCTGCGGGAGCCCGCACGCCCCGGGAGTGTACACCAAGGTCGCAGCCTACCTCAACTGGATCTACGGTGTCCGGAAGGTAAGCACCTGTTGGCCCTACCCATTGTGCCCTCCCGCCCTTCCTGTACGCTGGGGGGCACCAAATCATCCTTAGGTTTGATCCAAATGGCTCTGACAACCCTTCACATCCCAAATACTTTTCCCTCCCAGCAAGCCACAGCCTGAGATTCCACCATTAAGGCTGAAATTCCTCAGGTCAGAGATTCCTGTTAAATGCAAATACCTTAGGGTATGGAACACATCAAGCTTTATTTTCTGATGGAATGAGACTATGAGATCCTTTCCAGAGAGAAGATTCCAATAAGGAAGAGGGTAGAAAGGCTTGTGAGACTTCCTGGCCCCTAGAGGGTACTGGGAGAAGCAAAGAGCTTCAGGAAAGGAAGACTAATTTTGCACATGTCACCACTTTGCCAGTTTCAAATCATCTGACTTTCTCTTCCTGGGTCTCTTTTATTCTAGGCTGAGCTGTAATGCTGCTGCCCCTCTGCCGTGCTGGGAGCTGCTTCCCCTGTGCCCTGCCCACCAAGGGACCCCTGGAGTCAGACACAGAGCAACAGCCCCTTGGGCACACCTCTCCGCCCACACCTCAGCATTTCTTGAAGCAGTAAAGAGCTGCCCGTCCTCTAACAGGCCCCCACAGCCCAGAGGCACCCTGAAGGGAGTGGGCAGCCCCAGGCCAGCCACCCCCTGGTGCTCCCAGCATTCCAGGGAGAGAGGGACAGCCCACTGAACGAGCCAGCCGTGGGCTGAGATTTCGGAGCATCGCTAAGCCGAGAAGGAACTTTCCCACTCTGCTGAGTGGAAGTACGCTCTATCCTGAGAGCCCAGATCACCAAGGGCTGGAGTGGAGGAGGAAAGGGTGTGAGCCAGCCCTCTCCTTCTCCACCCATCCCCAAGCCCACCTGAGCAAGAAACCAGTTGTAATGTAAAACGCTCTGTCACACTGTAGGCCACTACTGTTACCTCCTGTTATTATTGTTACCTCTGTGGCTGCTGCCATTAAACAGGTATGTGAAATCGTCAGCATAGGCTGGCTGGGCAGCTTGATAAGAACTGAGCTAGGACCAGTTGAACCTTTATTCTTCGCCCTGGGTAGAAAAAAGTCCAAGGGAGGCAATTGTGTCTCAAAATAGAGGCAGGAGGAAGAGGAGAGATGGAAACCGGATCTACTGAGTGGGGGACACAGTGAGCTGCAGACTGGGGGAGCCAGGGTGAGCAGGTCTCATTCCCACACAGGGCCTCTCCCTGCACCCTCTGTCCCTCCCTGCCTGTGATATCAGCCACGAGCCAGGAATAACCTGTGATTCCAGAGGGAGATGATGGGGTCAGTCAAGGGTGACATTCAATCAGGGCTCCCCAAGTGGCTGGAAGGAGGTATTGCACCTCTAAATCCTAACTTCTTCCACCTCCAGAGCCCTCAGTGTGGTTTCTTTCATTCATTAAAAAAAGACAGTAGTTGGGAGCAGCCAGGCGCAGTGGCTCATGCCTGTAATCCCAGCACTTTGGGAGGATCGCTTGAGGCCAGGAGTTCATGACCAGCCTGGGCAGCATAGTGAGACAGCCTCCCATCTCTAGGAAAAATTAAAAAACTAGCTAGGCGTGGCGGTGTGAGCGTTATGTAGTCCCAGCTGCTGGGGAAGCTAAAGTGGGAGGATCACCTGAGCCTAGGAGGTCCAGGTTGCAGTGAGCTATGATCGTGACACTGTACTCCAGCCTGGGCGACAGCAAGACTCCTGCCTATTAAAAAAAAAAAAAGTTTCACCTGCCAGGCATGAGGCAGTCCCCAAGCTGGGTTCTGAGGATATAAGCATGTCCCTGCACTCAAAATGGTTGAAGAATTAAGCCCCATGGACTTCTCTGGTAGCTATTCAGAGGCTCAGGTTTTCTGAGGACCGTCTCATTATAGTTGACTCCGATCCTAGATAAAATATACTTGTTCATGCCTTATTAGGTTCTTAGAAAATAATGAAAATTCTCATTTCATTACTTAATAAAATAAAGCAAAACCATCAGAGCTGTGAGCTGAAACTAAGGTGGTGATGGGAGCAATAACCTGAAATCTTGGGTCAAGACCTACATGAAGGCTGCGAGCAGAACTAAACCTGGTAGGGAGGGGGCCGGGCTCGGTGGCTCACGCCTGTAATCTCTCTGGGAGGCTAAGACGTGTGGATCGCTCAAGGTCAGGAATTCAAAACCAGAACCAACCCCCCTCGCTCTCCACCATCCTCTCTCCTGGGAGTAGGGACTACTCCTACCATCTTGTTCTAACCTCCTGCCCCATCTCACCAACTCTCTCTTCCTCCTGATGTGAGT